ATGAAACAGGAACACACACTGGGTGCTGCTGGAGATTACAGAAGGTGGCTGACGTTTAAGGGAGAGCGGGTTAAAGTCTGTCAGAAGTGACGTCATTTAGCGGCATTATTCTCTACTAGACAATAATAGTACAAAAAAGGACTGTGACTGAGGACATTTAGGGTTCGAAACTAACTTTTTCCACCACCTTCCCAAAACTCACAAGTGGGAGCGCCAATATCGTGTCACAGCAGCTACACTGCAGATTTTTTTTGTAAATGGGTCTCGTGAATGAAAGATTCAGCTTCAACTAATGCAAAATGCCAGATATCAGCGTCTATTACTATCAAGACTAAACATCTTTGGGTTTTGAGGTGTTGGTTGTACAAACAAATTAAAGTCTTCAGCTTTAGGAAATTGCCAATTGTCTGACATTTTGTCTCCCAAACACTTAATCTATAAAGTGATTTGTTGATTAATTGTTAATGAAAACACTCATCGTTTGCAGTGTTACATTCAGGACAATGCTGTCGTTTTTCTGGTGAGGACAGTTGTAGCAAACGGCCCATTTTTCCAAACAAACATTGCAGAAGCGGTTCATGATGATGTGATGGTGTCTGGAAACTGTCTAGAGCTGCAACTAATGATTATTGATTCATCTGTTAATTATTTTCTTGATTGTTTTCTCGATTCATTTAGAATCAGGTCAAAAATGTCAATCACAGTTTCCCGGAGCCCAAGTTAATCTAGTCTTCACATATCTTGTTTAGTCCAAACAACAGTTAAAAAAAAAAAAAGCAGTTTAAAGATTTTCATTTTAAGCTAAGCTATTAAATGAAGCTGAAACCGCTGAACTTTCAGCATTTCGCTTTCAAAAAAATGACGGTTAATCGCTTACCAAACTTCAAACTCGTTCCAGATTAATTTTCTGTCAAATGATTTATCAATTAAAATCGACCAAATGTTTCAGCTCTACACTTCCTTCATCCATCACTCTCCGTCTCACTGTCAGACCACAGTGATCAAAGCGAGAACTGTAGGATGTCTATAGATTCTGTGGCTCTCGACCACAAACTTCCTGGAACAACAACATGTGACCCTGACCGAAAACTGTCCTCTCAAATAAAAACTACACCTCTCTCTCTCTCTGTGTGCAGAAACAACATGCAGAAGGTCTGTTTTGTGTATAATATGTTACTCATCCATTTGCCCTGGGGAGAGCATTCATGATGTTTTGTAATGGTCAGCTCCATCACCCTCTTTCTGTCCACTCCAAAGTACCCACCAGGCAGAACCACTTAAAAGTCTTTTATGTTGCTTTTTCTTCCTCTTTTCCCTCTCCTCCGCTCCGCCTTTGTTGCGGGATGAATAAGACGCTGAGAGCCGATGGGCGGCTGGCCTTAATGGTTTCTCCCTTTCACCTCCACCTTATGAGCTATTTGAATTTCATGACGGATGTTTTTGCCGCTGCCTCATCCTGAGAATGAGAGGCTCAAACCTCTTGACAAAGTCTCTCCATAATTCATCACTCCCATCGCACACCCTCTCTGGGGGGTTATGCTCTGGAACACCGCAACGATGTTTACAACATTACAAGACATACGCACACAGATGAGTAGTTGAGGAAAGAAAGGCATAACCTAAGAAACACCTTTTAAAACCAGAAACTCTTAAAGGATTTCCCTCGTGATGACATTCCCCTCCCTCCTTTCACCCTGAAGCTGCTTCATTTTTTCCCCATCTTATGTGTGATAAAGCAGCACAAGAGGTTCAGGCAAAACTTGCTATGCAAAAGCAGCCAGCCACGGGCAGCGGCACTCCAATATAACATGTCCTTGAGAAACAACAGCTAGTGTTATCCCATTTATCAACACTGATTACAAGTATTGATCCGTCAGAACACGGTGGATACCCAGTTGAAAGGGTTCAGCAGACTGGAAACACAGCGGCTGCTGCTGCTGCTGCTGCTGCTGCTGCTGCCGCCGCGGATCACGGTCCGTCCAGACTGAAACAGACAGACCATTTCAGACGCTCACACGGTGTAATCCATCTGCCATCAGCTGTTAGAGGAAGTCAGTGTTTCAAAGTGTTGTGCCAGATGCCGTGTTATCTGGTAAATATTTTGGGGGTTGGCAAGAATTTCTCAAGTTTATGAGATGATGAAAAAGGGAGAATTTGCAACAGTTCTGACAGATAAACACAAAATCCCAATATACAAATTAAGAACTTCCTTTCAAAATAAAATAAAATAAATAAAACATGAGACCCACTCTCTTATTACGACTGCTGGCATGAAGGTAAAGCGCATTACAGCTGAGTTTTGAATCTTCATAAGATATAACACAGAATTTTTTTGTGTGCCCAGAATTGTTTATCTTTTTGCAAATATTGCCTGACGTGCTCCAGGCAGCAATTTTTTCCCTCGAAAATGAGCATGAATATGAATAGCGTTTTGGAATGAAATAGAAATGGAAAGTCTAGTTTAATGTGTTGGTAGACTGACAAGCAGTTCTTCCAGCACAACACGTCTGCACAAACATCATTGAATGTCAGGGATGGAAAAAAAAAAGAAAAGAAGACTTGCTTTAAAAAGGCCTGGAGGAACAGAGCACTGCCTGCTCCAATATCCCCCCTGTACTCTGCACCAAATCAGCTGTTTAATGGCTTTGTGGATGCAAAGAGCAGTGGACTGTTTGGTTTGTATGCATGGGAGGGCAGCTGGCCTGGAGGAACTGTTTTCTGCTGGCGACACACTTCAATACTCTCCCCTCAACAGCCTGTTATACTTTAAACAGCGATTGGAATTATGTTGACTATTTAAAAGGCGAAATCACAAGTGCAGGAGTGTGGAGGCAACAATTATTAAGATGTGGCCCAAAGAGTTTTCAAACAGGCTCAAGAATAAATTCTCAATTTATGACTCCTACAGCAGCCACTAATAATTAGCTAGTATACTCAAGGCTGTCCAAACCAAAATTAATTCATGTTTGATATTTTTTTTCAAAGAATGGCTAAACATTTAGATTTTTGGTCAGCAGCCTTTTGTCACATCATCAGGAAATTTCACTCTTTTATGGCTCATAATAAGAGCTTGTTAAGTTTTTTTCCCACTTTAAGTACCTTAAAAGTGATAATGGAGAAATCTAAAACAAGAGTGTCACATTCAAGTTTGCATTTTCGCCTTTAGTTCCGTTGCTTTATGAGCATTGATTATTGAAATCACCTGGATACATAATCAAATGGCACTCTTCCAACCAAGCATTGCTTCAAGTACAAGCCGTGCTCCAGCGATCCTGAGACTCAGGTCTGCAGCCGTCTGCCATCAGTCTCATTTAATTAGCTGTTTTTTTTCCCCCCTCAGAGATAAATGCAGCTTTTTTTGCTTTGCATGTCTTACAAAGCAGTAGCAGGCTGCTTGCGCAGAGTGTAGCGTGCTCCTGCACGCACTCTTGGCAACTCATGGTCCTGAAATGATTCTTCAACTGAACTGTTGACCCGCCGCCACCACCACAAGCACCACCACCCCCACCACCCCACCCCCCACAGCCGCCCACACAGCATCATCTTGAAGAGTAAAACACATTTAATTAAAGTAAGAGCTCAGGAGTCGTCAAAAGCTGCATTACTATTATTGCGAGGGCACATTTGTGACAAATGTCTCCCTGGCATATTGCACAGCACAGTCTCTAACCACAGCAGTAAATGGAGCTACTTGAGGAGGAAACACAACACAGAAATCAAACAGCACTTCTCTCTCTCTCTCTCTCTCTCTCTGGTTACTTTAATCTGCCCATTGGCTTTGAGATTCCCATTCTTAGACCATTAAACGCAAATGCTCAATTTATTTGAATTATTGACTACTGAATATATTCTTCAACGAGACATGACCTGAAACCTGCACACACTACTTTTCTGTATAAATTAGCAACACTAACTCTTGCAGACCAGCTGTTGGCTCTCACGTGCCTTGCTCAAGATCGCCATCTAGTGCTGACAGCGTGTTACTCTCCGTGTAAAGTCTGCCTGCTGTGATGCCTCAGGGGGAATCAATGGAAATACTACAACAGCAATAAACATCCTGACCCATCTAATTAAGATCAAAACCTTTTGATCACTGTAGAGTCCAGACTTCTAGCTGGGAAACTGTCTCTACACTCACCAGCGGTGTTCAGTCCTCAACACCCAGAGCAGCTCACTTCTTCTGTCCTACCGGCTATTTGATTACAGTTAATTACATTCACCCGTCGGCCAAAGTCGACTACATCCCGATTAGATGGCTGGAATAAACACCAGCAGAGCTCTGGGACCTAATGACGGCACAGTTGAGTGAAGAGACTGAGATCAAGTCAACTTGCAGTAAATAAGGATGAACCACAAAGTGACTGGGGTTAAAGAAAGCATATAATTTCATTTTAAAAAAAAGATCTAGGAAAAACTTTTTAGGCATGCCAGCCTCAGATTGACGCCTCAAACACAGACAGCGATCATATAAATAAATAATAGTGGGCTAATTAGGACTGAAAAGAATATGCCAAATGAATATAAGATCATGTTAGAACTGTAATTCCTTCTTAATAAGAAACAATAATGTTGACTTTTCGTGAATCTCACTTGCCCATTTAGCTCAAATGAGCAATTATGCAGATTTTCAAGACATGCGGGTTATTTCAGGCAAAAATGTCGCACAGACAACAAGGATTTAATCCGTCTGGTCTTTGCAAAGTATTACAATCCAATAATCAACTTCAGCAGGACAGTCTACAATAACTCCCGATATAACAATGCAGCAACTTCTGGTAAAAAATAATAATACAGGAATAATCTTGTAGAATAGATAATAAGATAATGTAGAATATTAAAAATAGACTTCACTATAATAAACTCACTAATATGCAACCCCACATTCGGGATATTCTAATAATGAAAAAATGCAATCAGTTTATGTGTAGCCGACCATCTCTGTGTGTAAAATAAGTAAATAAAAGCATAACAGGGTGAACAATAACAGCTGTGGCGCTTACCTGCAGGAGGGATACCTTCTAAATAAAGTTCATTCTCGCAGTATTTAAGCAAATAACTTCACTGTTAGAGCATCGGTCTGAGAGATGACACGGAAAAAGCCATTCTTAAAAATGAACTGTTTAAAAGATGCCGATCAAGAAACACGAGTAAAGTCCTCCTCAGCATCGGTGTCGTCGCCAACTTGAGCGCAGTCTCTCCCTTAGACTGCGTGACTCTCCTCTCTGCCGGCGCTCTGCTGCAGCTGCTCTCCGGAGCGCAGCCAAAGAGCAGCGGAGGCAGCGAGAGGAGTAACCCCCACCTCACCGGCGCGTTCGCTTGTGGGAAGAAAAAACAAACACTTTTGACTGAAGTTAGACAATTTTTAGTTTCCCTTTAGTATTGTAGAAACATAAATAAAACTACGAATATAACTTTCACACTTAATATTTAAAGATAAAGGTGTTTTACCAGTAAGGGGAAGAAAAAAAACAAAATACTTACCAAGTTCTCATGGCTAGCAGGCTAGCAAAAAAAAAAGAAAGTACTCCAGCAGAGCAGCATGGCCATTCGTTATTTTTGGCCACCTCTTGTGATGAAGTCCAGTATTCACGGGCATTTAGCTAGCTAGGTTAACTAAAAATGTTATTAACTATACTATAACTATCTTCATCAGTCTGTCCTTCCATCTGTCATGATATAGCAAAAAAAAAACCCACATGTAGCTTGTATTAGATGTTGTGTTCACAGTTTTAAACGAAGCAACGTTGTTTTTAAGTTTTTGTTGGTCATAGTAACAACATCTACAAACTGGAAGTGATTGGAAATTCTAAAGTCGCAGATTATCATAATAGACTGTCAGACTGATTGAAGGTACTACACATCCCGACCACCAGCGCTCCGGTCAGCGCGCTATCTTGGATTTTGCATGGGTTGTATTGATTTTAATGGGAATCACGGCACTGTTTCAGATTAAATTGTGTTGCCTGACATCTAGTTCCCGTTTTTCTCCTGTAACGTTAAGACATTAACGAACTTTAACTGCACCGATTACCTGATCCCAATGATGGTCTTGTGTCAGGGCTACGTATAATACTCGGAAATTTGTTTTACATGAAAGTTGAGCTGTTCAATGTCTCGATCTCTCAACGTCCTTGAACGCAGCAAGATAATGACCTGCTTGTGCGTCGTGACGTCGGCGGGCGTGTCTCGTCTTTTGCGCACTTCCTGCCTGAAGCGAATGTTTACGAAGTTCCCGCGCTGCGATTAAACGGCTTGTTTACATGAGCAGCCGGACTCGGACTCGGACTCGCGGCTCATTCCCGAGTTGTGAAGATGATTAAGACGGAAAAGATCCTTCATCTGAAGAGCTGCCGCGGGCGGAAGGTCCGTGTGGTCCGCGAACATTACCTGAGAGAGCAGGTTCCCTGTTACAGCTCTCTGTGCCAGGCGGACTGTGACAACGGTAACAAAAACAAAAGGCTCAAACCGCCTTTCAGTTGCCTGTACAATGAATTCCCCACCGAACACACACTGTAGGTAATATTACAGCTAAGAGCTAGATGGTGACTAACCCAAACATGCTAACTTCAACAGATTTCTTGTTATTTTTAGTACAGAGATGCTGTTTAATCAGCCTGTAAACAGTCAGTGTCAAAGCTAGCTAAGATGCTAGTTTCTCTCTGGTGCTCAACAGTCTTTTAAGTGTGTAGAACATTTTATGAATATATGAGAAAAATGACTTACTCATTTAGAATTAATAATGTTTGCTGTATAATCAGATGGAGGAAAGATTGCTCAAACTTCTTACCAGTAATTAATTACCTGTAATATATCATGCAGATACCAGTTAAAACGCTATTACACGTTATGTTATCAGGATATATTCACTCCCCAGTTTCCATGTTTACAGGTGCTGCTCATATAATTATAATATAATCATCAAAAAGTTGATTTATTTCAGTAATTATATTCATTCATTACACACAGACTGATATATTTCAAATGTTTATTTCATTTAGTTGTGATGATTAAAACTGACAAATAATGAAAATCCCAAATTCACTATCTCTGAAAATCAGAATATTACTTAAGACCAATACAACAAAAGGATTTTTAGAAATGTTGGCCAACTGAAAAGTATGAGCATGAAAAGTATGAGCATGTACAGCACTCAATACTTAGTTGGAGCTCCTTTTGCCTGAATTACTGCAGCAATGCGGCGTGGCATGGAGTCGATCAGTCTGTGGCACTGCTCAGGTGTTATGAGAGCCCAGGTTGCTCTGATAGTGGCCTTCAGCTCTTCTGCATTGTTGGGTCTGGCGTATCGCATCTTCCTCTTCACAATACCCCATAGATTTTCTACAGGGTTAAGGTCAGGCGAGTTTGCTGGCCAATTAAGAACAGGGATACCATGGTCCTTAAACCAGGTACTGGTAGCTTTGGCACTGTGTCCTGTTGGAAAATGAAATCTGCATCTCCATAAAGTTGGTCAGCAGCAGGAAGCATGAAGTGCTCTAAAACTTCCTGGTAGACGGCTGCGTTGACCTTGGACCTCAGAAAACAAAGTGGACCAACACCAGCAGATGACATGGCACCCCAAACCATCACTGACTGTGGAAACTTTACACTGAAACTTCAAGCAACGTGGATTCTGTGCCTCTCCTCTCTTCCTCCAGACTCTGGGACCTTGATTTCCAAAGGAAATGCAAAATTTACTTTCATCAGAGAACATAACTTTGGACCACTCAGCAGCAGTCCAGACCTTTTTGTCTTTAGCCCAGGCGAGACGCTTCTGACGCTGTGTCTTGTTCAAGAGTGGCTTGACACAAGGAATGCGACTGTGCGTGGTAGTTCTTGAAGCACTGACATTTTTGTGTCATTTTTGAATGGGTTTTGTTTCACAATCCTCTCCCAGGGTGCGGTTATCCCTATTGCTTGTACACTTTTTTCTACCACATCTTTTCCTTCCCTTCGCCTCTCTATTAATGTGCTTGAACACAGAGCTCTGTGAACAGCCAGCCTCTTTAGCAATGACCTTTTGTGTCTTGCCCTCCTTGTGCAAGGTGTCAATGGTCGTCTTTTGGACAGCTGTCAAGTCAGCAGTCTTCCTCATGATTGTGTAGCCTACAGAACTAGACTGAGAGACCATTTAAAGGCCTTTGCAGGTGTTTTGAGTTAATTAACTGATTAGAGTGTGGCACCAGGTGTCTTCAATATTGAACCTTTTCACAATATTCTAATTTTCTGAGATACTGATTTTGGGGTTTTCATTAGTTTTCAGTTATAATCATCAAAATTAAAAGGAATGAACACTTGAAATATATCAGTCTGTGTGGAATGAATGTATACATTATACAAGTTTCACTTTCTGAATGGAATTACTGAAATAAATCAACTTTTTGATGATATTCTAATTATATGACCAGCACCTGTATGTACCCCTTCCAAACATGGACAGTTTCTAACTTGTAGGTAGTCTATGATATTAACTTACAATATGATTGTATCAGAGTTAAACTGTTAGACACTGTTTAAGTAGGGCTGGGCGATATAGTTAAAAATGTTATGATAAAATATAAATTTAATACGATAGATAATTATCAGGATAAACGTATGGGTTTTTACATTTAGCTGACGCTTTTATCCAAAGCGATTTACAATTGCTATACATGTCAGAGGTTGTACACCCCTGGAGCAACTAGGGGTTAAGTGCCTTGCTCAGGGCCACATTGGTGTTTCATAGTGGATTCGAACCCGGGTCGCTCACACCAAAGGCATGTGTCTTATCCACTACACCATCACCACCCCAAATGTCAAAGTTGAGTGAAAAGTTGGAGAAACCAGATGGTTAATTGTGGTTTTAAACTTTTCTTCATGGTCAGAACAAAAACACTTACGCCAAACAGCGGATCACTTACCAAATCTGAGGTAGAACATTCAGAACTATGATAACATTTTTTCAACCAATATGGACAAGTAAATCTAAGATATTTTCAGTCCCTTTTCCTCAACAAAATAGAATATAAAAACTAAGTGCTAATTCATTCATGATTCAAATTAAATGAAAAATGTATTGAACATTTGTGATATTGTTACAGGAAAATTAAAATCTAATTAAAATGATCTAAATTTAATTATTATTGTTTTATTACCCAGCCCTATGTTGAAGTGAACCACACACAAAAAAACAAAAACAAATGATCAATTACTTCCCAAGCAGATGGAAAGGTGCTGCCGGGAGATTTGACACATTATGTGGTACCTGATGTCGGAGTGGTGGTTGACTATCTGGAGATCTTGGAGTTCAGAGAGCTGCAGGGCATCATCTTCACCCAGACCGCCTGCCAGGCTGTGCAGCACAGCAAAGGACGCAGGTACACTCGCAACACAGCATGCTGAACAGGTGCACAATATACAGTGGTGTGAAAAAGTGTTTGCCCCCTTCCTAATTTTATTTTTTTTTTTTTTGCATTTTTATCACACTGAAATGTTTCAGATCAAACAAATTGAAATATTAAAGATAACACAAAATGAAGTTTTTGAAGGTTTTTATTAAGGGAAAACAAAAATCCAAACCTACATGGCCCTGTGTGAAAGTGATTGCCCCCTAAACCCAACAACTGCGATCAAGTGTTTGCGATAACTGGCAGTGAGTCTTTTACAGCGCTGTGGAGGAATTTTGGCCCACTAATCTTTTCAGAATTGTTTTAATTCAGCCACATTGGAGAGTTTGAGCCTTAACCTCTTTTTTAAGGTCATGCTACAACATCGATAGGTTTCAGGTCAGGACTTTGAATAGTTCCATGTCCACTGTTCCATGTTTTCGTCTTTTGTGTATAATGGCTCTCACTGTGGTTCGCTGGAGTCCCAAAGTTTTAGAAATTTCTTTATAACCTTTTCCAGACTGATAAATCTCAATTACTGTGTTTCATTTGTTCCTGAATTTCTTTGGATCGCAACATGATGTCTAGCTTTTGAGGATCTTTTGGTCTACTTCACTTTGTCAGGCAGGTCCTATTTAAGTGATTTTTTGATTGAGAACAGGTGTGGCAGTAATCAGACCTGGGTGTGGCTACAGAAATGGAACTCAGCTTTCTAAAGATTTGATAAACCACAGTTGATTTATATTTTAACAGGGGGGGGCAATCACTTTTTCACAAAGGGCCATGTAGGTTTGGATTTTTCCCCCTTTAATGATAATTGAATGATTTAAAAACTGGATTTTGTGCTTACGTGTGTTATCTTTGTCTAATATTTCAATTTGTTTGAGGATCTGAAACTTTTCAGTGTGACAAACAGAATAAAAAATAAGAAATCGGGAAGAGGGCAAGCACTTTTTCACATCACTGTATATCGTTTAATTGAGGTTTGTTAATGTGTGGGAAGCCGACGTGAGTCCTTTAAGCCTTGCACTTAGTTGTCTGTTGACATATCTCAAAACAAGCATACTGGTGGTCAGTATCGCAGCCTTTTCTTCTACCAGCAAATGCAAACACTTCAGCTTCAGGCACCCTGAAGGAGACAGGACAGGTCCTTTGGTCAAGACCTTTAATTCCTGAAGCCGCTTTTGAATTAAACCTCTAATGACAATCTACCTGCACAAAGTGTGCAAAGAGTGGGTAGGGGTCAACCTCATTATATCAAAGCTTAGCTGACGAAGCTAAACGAGACTTGTGACTTGAAATACTTCTTCCCACACAAACACGCTGGAGTGCTTTTGACAAACTTGATGAACACTGTAAATAAGGAGTCCCACATGACCTCTGCTTTCGTTTTTGATTTCTGCTTACGCTGCGCTTCTAAAATGTTGCATCATTAATATGATGAAGCTTCACTTTTGATAATGTTAGGTAGAAGTGGCTGGTGGAGCATATGCTGATGCCATACTGTGTCAGTAATTGCAGTTTTCCGTTCACTTCAGCACACAGGCTGACCACAGGAAGCAGCACTCTGTGCGTGACCTTTAAGTTTCTTTTCAGCTTTGCTTTTCCATCAACCCGTATTTTTATATCTAACAATAATTGTCTCATAATATATAGTAAGATACTTCTACTATAAGCATAATAATATGCTTATCCTATGTATTAAAAAACCTAGTGCTCCTCATCACTGTGAAACCATCTACCTTCTTTAGTTTACCATAAAACTTTAATCAAAAGCCTAGTCCCAATTAGACTCTTGTCCCATTTAGTGGCCTGGTGTGGCAGATCACAAGTAGAAGTCTGGTCTAATTTTTATTGAAGTTCTTTGGATGTATAAAACCTCTTAAAGCCCGCCGGGTCACCTGCTTGAGCTAAGCTGCTTGGATCGTGCATATAAATATGAATATTAAAACTTTTGTCAGTATGGACACATCGTTAGATCAGTTTTATTCTCCACAATTTAATCATTAAATTCATTGTACAGAACAATGAGCAAGTCTGATCCATTCAGATTTACCAGCATGGTGAAGGAATTGAAGGCCTGTCCCAAATATAGGCAGGGTAAGTTAATTGATTTAAGCAAATAAAAGCCTGGGCTATTAATTGAAATTTTACATTAGTTTAGTCACACTTTGGGGCTTATGTTCCTTCTTCCGAAGGATAATTCTGCATTCCCATTACACAAATAAAGAAATATTGTTATTTATTTTATAGTTGTTTATGTTACAGAATCACAAACATGATATATTAAAGAAATGATTTGACATACTTTTGTGAAAATTCCTTTTCGTGTTTGATGACGAGATTGATACCACTCTTATGTACATAAATATGAAGCTATCCTCAGCAGCTGGTTAAGTTAGCTTAGCACAAAGATTGGAAACCAGGGGAAAGAGCGAGTCTGGCTCTGTCAAAGGGAACAAAATCCAGCACACAAGCTCACTAATACGCTACATATCGTGTGTTTAGTCTATACAAACCAAAGTGTGAACACGACGCATTTTCTGTAAGGGTTATGTACTGGACTGGTACTGTACTGATTAAACAAATGAGACATACATATATTATATTAGTGAGCTTTAGAGGTACTGGTAAGCAGATTTTGTTGCCTTTTGGCGGAGCCAGCTGTTTACCTCTGTTTCCAGTCTTTGTGCTAAGCTAAGCTAACCGGCTGGTGGCTTGATATTACAGTAAAGATGTGAGAGTGGTATCAGTGTTCTCATCCTACTCTTGGCAGGATTGTGCATACCAAGATGTTGATCTATTATTTTAATCTACTATATTAATTGTTTTTGTCTGTATGATATGTCTCAGTGTTTGTTTGGTTTTTGGTTTTTTTCCTGTTGTGGGTGTGTGTTTGTGCAGGCAGTACAACCGTTTGCGAAACCTGCTCAAAGACCCTCGACATGACTGTGTGCTGTTTGCCAATGAATTCCAAGAGTATTCCTATTGTCCGCGAGAGAAGGGGGAGAGCCAGGAGAAGTGGCAGACCAGGTCAGTGCTCATTACACTGCCGTCATTGAACCGCTCACACTAGTACAATCAGAACAAGCAGCTGTCCAATCAAGAGCAATCAACTATATAAGCGTCCAAAAATTAATTAAATGTCAGTATTACATGTTTACATGTTTTATTTATGTAAGTAGTATAGAAGTAAAGTTGTAACTGTATGGTAAAACTCTTTAATTCAGTATAAACTCCAGACAGTAAGTAAAGTAAAGACAGTACTGCCACTGGATTTCACTTTCATTAATTTTCATTGTAAAATTTTTTGATTTATCCTCATCTGGATCCTTCAGCAGGTTTTAGATGAAATTAAAAAATTTAGTTTAGCGGTGCATAACCTATGAATTTATTCAAACTTTAGTTCAACTTGTTCAAAAGAGGCTGGCAGTGCAGAACCATATGGCACTGAGGGTCCCCCTACTGGCTAAGCTGTCAATCAAACGTTTACAATAGCTTGTCTCCATAGGGGCTGAAGGAGCAATTTCAGTAATTCCAAAGATGTTTTTCCTCCATTTCAGGTAGAAAACAAGTAAAATAACAAAGAGAGCAGGAGCGCTCGCTTGAAAATGACAGATGTGCTGTGAAGACTTTATGATAGACTTCATTGTGTATACTTGTTTTCTACATAAAGTGTGTCAGGATGTTTTGAACAGCCCCCGCAGATTTGAGCACATAAGCCACACAATTGAACGTTTATTCCTCCATTCAGTAGTAAAATATTATTGAAATGTAATGCTGTGCCAAAGGTCTGTATTAGAAGATAAAATGGGTGCATGCAATGAGACAAGTGTGCTGATGCTTTGATTTATTTTTATTGAATTCCAGCTGTAAAAAAAAACAAAAAATCAGACCAGTTGACAAAAAGAGGAAACAAAAAGAATTTGGTATTTGTGAGGGTACCGCAAGCAACAACAGTGCAGGCACCAGCTTCTAGCACTTTACCTATAAGGATTATTATTATTATTACCTGTAATCCAGAAGGAAGAAATAATTAGGCACAGTAAAAATGCTGCAGTGCTTACCACCATGATTTTTGTCCTAATAAAGATTAAGTCCTAGTCATGGCTCTTGATGATGTGGTCCGCCAACCATTTTGAGTTAAAGATGGTGTTCATTTATACGCTAGAGTAACTAAACACAGAATATCCAGGTTTAGGGCTGTCTGCATGCATCTTGTGCTTGTGAATTAACCGTGTGTGTGTGTGTGTGTGTGTGTGTGTGTTGTAGGTGTGTGTACTCTGCAGCAGTATGGTACCATAACCACCTGGCAGGTATGAAGGATATAGTGATGATCACAGAGGACCGGGATGCCATTGCTCAGTACAGCAGCCTGAACTCTGGAGTTTACGTCATCTCCGTCCAGGTACATGACATACCTGTGCATTACCGTTCACACCATGTGTGGCTAATCTGAGTAGGGATGTGTATTGCCACTCGATGCCTGCACCATAAACTGTATAAAAAAAGATTTTAACAGCCCCTTCGCTTTCGGCTGCGGTCTCAGGCATGTTTGTCACTTCTGCAAGTTTATCACCACGAGCTTGGCTTTCCGTTGGTTTCATCTTCTGGTACCATTTAACACTTCTCTGTATCTGGTACCATTTAACACTTCTCTGTATCTGGTACCATTTAACACTTCTCTGTATCTGGTACCATTTAACACTTCTCTGTATCTGGTACCATTTAACACTTGTCAATGAACGATTGCTGCGTTCCATATCGAATGAAGTACTCTATTGGTATCGGTGTCACTTTAAGGGTACTGGTTTTGGTACTGGTATTGTAAAATTTTAAACAATACCCAACCCTAACGTCATAAGAGGTTTTATACATCCAAAGAACTTCAATAAAAAGTAGACCAGGCTTGTAATTGAGACCTGCGTTTATCTAAACGTGTAGCCACACCAGGCCACTAAATGGGAGAGGCGTCTAATTGGGACTAGCCTTTTATTAAAGTTTTATGGTAAGTCATGTTATTCTGTCTCCAGCACACTGAATTTCAAACACCCAGCGTTCAGCTTTAAGTTGATGGTGTTTAATCTATTTTGGGTAAACACTACAGAAGCCCTATCATTTTCCTGCTGCATTCAGAAGAGGAAAGATTCCTACACTGGTGCCTAGTATTGACAGAAAAACCCCTCAAACATCCATAAATCTGAAGCTCAACTGTTTAACGTCAGCCACTGTTTTATATTAAAGGAGGTCAGAGCCAAAGTAATAGATAATGTGTCTGTGTGACAGACTGTGGTGTGTTGACCAAACGTACTCAATAAACAGAAATCCCCAATATACTAATTTAATGTTTTGTGGACACTTGCAACATGTTTGAAATCAATATGAGGAAACAATCTTACCACAAGGTGAATTTAGTATCAAATTATTTCCTCAGCAGATGGAGTTTGCCCAGTTTCCCTGTAGATGTATTAATGTTTTCCCGAGTGCTTCTATGACACAGCAGCTAAATGGAGCTTGTAGTGAAATTGTTTTCCCACCTGATGTTTCCAAAGTCAGGAATGAAATTTGAGTCGTGTTGGTACTTGGTTGAAATCTGGATCAATATCATTAAAACATATTATGGGAAATGTATGCAATATCAAAGATAAAATTATTCCACTGTTTTGCTTTACATGAAACAAAAGACTTATACAATAATAAAAAAAACATGTAGGAACACAGCAACATGGCTAAAAAGATGTTCAAGAAAAGAGAGCAATCAGGCGATCAGACGGGTTGGAAACGAGCCACAATTATCTAAACCACTTTATTTGGTGGTTAAACAGAAAGTGTCTGTAATTACCGCTCATTATAAGGGAACATTGTGTGTACACATCTACAGGACGGTGGATCAAAGTTGAAGCAGGAAGTCGGTCTGTAGACTGTTGAAAATGAATCCTCCTCTAAACACAGATTCATTTGTTCTACAGATATACCTTAAAATGTGTAGCGCAGTAACAAAGGGCCAAAAATGTTATCACGATAAAACATTTCATATCATTCAATAATTATCAGGATAAATGTCAAATCATTATCTCATTCAAGCTTAAAGGCTGGTTTTTGCTCCGAAGTAAAATTAAGTAAAATCTTTTTTTTTCCTTAACAAAATTAATATCTTATTAGAAAAATTAAGTGCTAATTCGTTCATGATTCAAATTAATTAAATCAAACGTTTATTGTTATATCACGATAAATATCATTATTGTTTTATTGCACAGCCCTACAATAACATCATATAATCACAATACGATTCCTCTAAAAGTTGATAAACTATGTTTAATTTTTTACCGCCCAGCCCACTAAGACATCACAGAATTATCTATTAGAGGATGAAGGTAATGAGTCCAACCAACTTAGGTCTACAACGCAAGAACAAAGGACTATTAAAACATATGTACATCAGTAATCTATGTAATTAGTGTATCTCCAGATGATCTTACTTAATTGTTTGCCCCTTGAATCCTAAATCTTTTATATGCAACAGCATAAAAGCTGAAGGGATTTTGTACCGCCCAATTGTCTTCCGTCCATATCGCTCCTTTGAGTTCCTCAGCAGCTACTATGCTATTGGAAAAGTAGAAGTTTTGATGAAGTGGCGACAGTATGACTCAGTAGAGCGCTAAGAGTTGTGTTGAGAAGCTGTGATGAATCACAGGTAGCTTCATGGAAATTCTATAAACGGCTTGTTCTAAGAAAAAAGCAGTAATTTCTTTTTTGTCTTGTCTGCCTTTTAGCAGCAGTATATGATGACGTAAGCAGATGGGTGGACAGACAGAGGTGTTCAGTACCACCTGTGTATTAACAGATCTTGGTAGTAAACAGCATTATGGAGTTATTTTAGTATTAAGTGGATTTGTAGTGTAGCTGTGCGTACATCCAGTTCATTTTCTATTTGTATTTTTATCCTGTTTTAGCAGAGAGCTGATGTTTGTGTGAAGTTTACAGATGCAGTTCATATAGATGTTGCGGTATAACTGCAGGAGAAATGAGTGATGACAACTGAACTGTCAGAATAGAGTAACAAAGTGGGAGGGGTTCTTTCAGGGGTCAAAAAACGTAAAAGTCCCGTCCGTTTTCTCACATGGCACTGCTAGATGACAGGTACTTCAAGGCCTGGATGGACATGAAACTCTCTCTCTGTGGTTGAAGATGAAGAACTACGCTACGAAATATTTAGTTTCTGAATTAAAAAGTCAAAGGTGTCTCTGCTAAAACACTCGAGGTGCATTTTTGGTAACAACCATCCAATCACCAAGCTTAAAATTCTGATATGTCTGCTGCTTACTGAGTTGAACCAAAAGAATACACTTAGCAGAAACCTAATAAAACATTCAACAGTTTAAATTAGTTAACTTTCACATTCTAGGACACTTTTGGATGCAGTTTGACAACTATGGTGCTGGGTTTTGTTCCCATTTCCACCAATGGCGTGCTGAAAGAATTAGCTACAGCACTGACCCCAGCCTCTGATGGGTTTTGTAGTATTTAGAACCATCCGTTAATCAGGACTGACGGGGATATCTCAGAAATGATGCTGCTGGCCATAACATAAACCTACAGTATCTTTAAAATATCCAGGAGACTCTTGTGTTTCTATGATAAAGAACATTCAGGATATCATTAAAAGAAAACTTGGAAATAGAGATTTAGAATGGGGATATTATTTCAGGAGCCTGTGGCTCCTCTTACTTTGAAACCCATTGCTGACTGAACTGAACTTGAGTGTAAAAGAACCACAAATTGGGCCTCTGCAGGGAATTCATTAGAACTATGGAGGTCTTTTATTTTAAATTTGAACCTTGAGAATGAAACTTGTCAAGCCTTCATAACAGAAGTCAACATCAGTATTCTGTCGTAATTGTCATTCATCATTACCTAACACCATGATCCGTTTTGCCACTTCTGAAATGTGTCGTTTTATTTGCCAGGATTTTTTGCAAAACTTCTGGCCGGAGCTGCAGGCAGCCCATGAGCTGTACAGCTCCATTTCCCAGGCGCTGCAAGAGAAGGAGAGCGAGGGCTCGCAGAAAGAGTTTGCTGAACATCTGCCTGCTGAAGTCCTGGAGGCTGGAATCAAGTCTGGACGGTACATTCAGGTACAGTTCACCTATTGGTTTATACCTAGTGAGTCTTAGAACAACAGTTATGAAGTTGGACAAGAAGAAAACAAAAGACTTCTTAAAATGTTTCTGGAAAAACACACAAAACATCCAGTAAAACTGCACTCTTGTGCCTGGCATTGACTTGCACGTAGCTACCATTATTAAAATCTTGTAGACACTTTAAACTTTCTTGAATTAGGTAATTCTACAAGTATTTTAAGTAATATTGTCAGTAGAAGTGTTGTAGTCAAGACCGCCCAAACCGAGACCAAGTCAAGACCAAGACCAGAGTTTATCGAGACCGAGACAAGACCAAGACCAGTTCCCCACATTACATGACACGCAATAAAATGTGGAATGAGATCACAGGTACTTGAAAAACACCCACATACAAACAAGAGCTGAAATCAATGTAAGCATCTTTATTCAACTCTCCTTTTGCATGCTGACCATCCACTTAACACCAGGGCCGGGGCGATATCAATAATTAACAGGATAAATGTCAAACCTTTCTTTCTTTCAAATTTAAAGGCAGATGGTAATTGTGGTTTTAAACTATTCATCATGGTCAGAACAAACACTTGATGCCAAACAGAGGATCACTTCACAAATCTGAGATAGAACTTTCAACACTATCATGATAAAATCTTTTTTCCACAAAAATGCACGAGTTAAATTAAGTAAAATATGTTTTTCAGTCCGGGCGGCGTGGTGGTGCAGTGGTTAGCAAACCCTGGTTGCTCCGGCTTCCTCCCACCATCCAAAGACATGCAGGCTAGGTTAATTGGTGTCTCCCAAATTGTCCTTAGGTGTGAGTGTGAGTGGTTGTCTGTCTATGTGTGGCCCTGCGATGGATTGGCGACCTGTCCAGGGTGTACCCTGCCTTTGGGATTGTCAGCTGGGATTGGCTCCAGCCCCCTGCGACCCTGTACGCAGGATAAGCAGTTGACGATGGATGGATGTTTTTCAGTCCTTTTTCATTTGTGATTCAAATGAATTAAATCAAACATTTATTAAACAGTTGAGAGTGCGTGTAAAGGGGGGGCGGGGAGGGATGACAGCTGTAAATGGTAACAACAGATTTTTAATTGGCGTTATTGGTTACATTCGAAGCCATAAATTTTATATCCAATCAAAGTTAGGATGTTAACAAATAAATCAGATAATGCGAAAGGAATTTATTGATATTCCAAAGGTTATGACCGAGTCCAAATTCGGTCGAGTCCGAGACGAGACAGAGACCATCAAAAAGTGGTCTTAAGTACTACAACACTAGTCAGTGGTGATGGTATTTATGCATTTGAGGGTACAGGAAGTAGCAAAAGAAAGGAGGACCGTTTCACACATTTGCCAGGTCTCGCCTCTAAAGCACTGGGGCTGATCAAGGACAGTATCAACAAGACGTTTTGAATAGAACTGAGGATCGTAACCTCTAATTATGACTGGTGAATTAAACTAGATTATTAATGTTTCTAAAATCAAAATAAATCCGACCTTTCTTTCCTTTTTATCAGGGTACTCTGAACGTCAGCAAGCACCGGGCACAAAATGAAGCTTCAATCATGACGGAGGGTCTCTCTAGCAAGAACACAGGTGCAAAACCAACTACATGCTGAATACTGTACTGACCACAGCCACATTCAGCTATCGCTACAAACAAACAAACCTCTCATTTTGTGGTGACTGGATTTGTTGGCTCTCTTCACCCATTTCTCCTCACCCCACTCCACTTCTTCTTTTTTTTTTTCCTTGCCGCTTTTTTTGTCCTCTCTGCCGTCTGTCTCACCTTTTCCTGTCCCTCATCCGTCTCAGATCTGAGTCGGGGGGTGTTGGTGTACGGCGTTAAGAATCGCAACAGAGCCGTGCACGGCGACCTGGTTGCGGTGGAGTTGTTGCCAAAGAGTGAGTGGAGAGGGAAGGTCACAGCCCTGACTGAGAGCCAAGGGGACGAGAAGAGCGGAGAGGAAAATGAGAGTAAACCCATGCCGACAGGTGGGACCCTCCATAGAGACTGAACTTCAGTAATAATGCTGTTTTATTTTCTGTCCTCTTTGTTTTTCTGTTAGTATAAAGGATATCTCAAAAACTAGTGGACAGATTTCACTGAAAGTTAGAGGAAAGTTAAGCAATGGGCCAAGAAAGAGACGGCTAGTTTTTGGTGTAGCTGATCATGTGGACATGTTTAACATATGTTTTTGTTTTATCTTCATGGTCATCACCTTTGAATAGGGCTGGTTGATATGGCCAGAAATGCTATCATGATAATACATAATACATTTCATATCATTCAATATTGATAAATGTCAAATCATTATTTCTTGAAAGTTTAAGGGCTGATTTTTGTTATTGAGTGAAAAATGAAGAAACCAGATCGTTAAATGTGGTTTTAAACTTTTCTTTATGGTCCGAACAAACACTGAATTAACCTTCTGTAGAAGAACATTCAAAACAATTATAATAAAATCTTTTTTCAGTCCCTTTTCCTCAACAGAATAAATATCGTGATAGAAAAATGAAGTGCTAATTCGTTTGTGATTCATAGTAATTAAATCAAACATTTATTAAACATTTGTTATATTGTAATTGATTAATTATCATTATTGTTTGATTTCCCAGCCCTATGTTGGAATACTGTTTAGAATTATCCCATTTCTTTAAATATTTATCAAAATAATCATACACCAGGATAAGTTTGGGCAAGAAAGTCACACTAGGAAATTTTAATATTGGCAGATGTGTGGTTGTAAAGCACTGCATTAACTGGTATCAGCTGACTATACTGGTATTTTGACATTTTGAAACTAGAACATGCAACATATTATTAGGGTCTCTGTATTGATTTGTGATATTAAAATCCACAGGCCGTGTTGTGGGGATCCTGCAGAGGAATTGGAGGGACTATGTGGTAACTTTTCCCCCCAGAGAGGGGACCCAGTCCCAGAGCAGGAATTCCCAGCGCATCCTGGTTGTACCCTGGGACCATCGCATCCCCAAGATCCGAATCAGTACTCAGCAGGCTGACGCTCTGCAGGTGTGGCTTGGCTACATGTTGCTACTGCTTTTCAGTCAGAAACTCATAAAAGGTTGCCGACATTATAAACCATTCTTAAAACTGTATTCACTCTCATTTGGGCCAGTGACACACTGGGGTCACTTCTGGGTTTTTGCCATAAACTGTATGTAACTGTATCGTGACGTCACCCGTTTTGTTTTTGCCCCCATCAGCTGAACTCAAAGATCTGAGACTTTGTTTATGTACACAAAATGCCTATTTCTCTCAAATATTGTTCACACATCTGTTGAAATTTGTGTTAGTGAGCACTTCTCCTTTGCATATTTTGAAGTGGCCTTTTATTGTGGCCAGCCTAAGGCCTTTTATTGTGGCCAGCCTAAGGCACACCTGTGCAGTACCCATGCTGTCTGATCAGCATCTTGAAATGCCACACCTGTGAGGTGGATGGATTATCTCGGCAAAGGAGAAGTGCCCACTAACAGATTTTGACAGATGTGTGAACAATATTTGAGAGAAATAGGCCTTTTGTGTACGTAGAGAAAGTCTTAGATCTTTGAGTTCAGCTCATGATGAGTGGGGGCAAAAACAAAAGCGTTGCATTTATAACTTTTTTCAGTGTAAATGCACTCACCAGAGAATGTGAGCAGCCAAGTCCTAATATGCTTTTTCAACGCTAGTAAAATGTACACAGTGCCGTGTGTACGAGTCACTCTAGCTTGATTGACAGATCGCCATGGTAATGACTTGTTAATCATAGATAATCCCGGCCTGAAGCATACTCTGCTTTATGGTCTATGTTCCTCTAAATGGGACCATCATTTACTAAATGAACATCATGTTGTAAACTAGCGACTGAGACAATAAACTCATCAGGAAAGAGTTTACTGAGGTAATAAATCAGCTGAGAAGTAGCCTCATTTTACCATTATTTCTAATGGAACAGGAATTCTTTTTGCAACCAGAAGAGTTGCCCCCTGCTGGCCGTTCAATAGAATTCAGGTTTGAAGGAGTTTGCTGCATAATTATATCTACTACTAAAATAATTATGTAAATAATATGATCTTGGTAAGACAATAATTTTCTTAGAATAAACAAATGGGATAAAAAAAACAACATTCAACATTATGCTCCTCGTGAAAAATTGGGCACTAAAGTTTGTTCATCTATGTTTCCCTCAAATTGACCAGTTTGTCTCAAAATGTGGCCAGTGTTAATTTAAACTCTTGCATCTTGTCTTCTTTACCCAGGACCACAGACTGGTGGTGCGCATTGACTCTTGGGAAAGCACGTCGCTCTATCCCAACGGTCACAGTGTGCGGGTGCTTGGTCGGGCTGGAGAGCTTGAGACAGAGGTCCAGACCATCCTCATAGAGAACTGCATCCACGTGCCTCCCTTCTCAGATGCACAGGTCAGAAAGGAAGCCACACTTTCATTATCCAAACATCAATTCATTTAAAGCTGCGTTAAGTCATTATTTTGCCCACAAGCTGAAAAACACAACTTTTGGCTTATTATCCCTTGCAAAGTTGTTAAGCTTAGGAGCCAATTGCCTACTTACACATTTAGCAGACACTGAGTTTATAGGCACCTGACAAATATAAGCTGCTTCATATTCCACTTTCTTCACTAGCTAGTCTCTAAGCCGTTCAGTGATTTTAAAAACTGATAAAAGATTTGTGAAATTAATTCTGTTTTAGACAGATAACCAGTGTGAAGACTTAGTGAGGATTTTATAAGGCAAGACATTCCTCCTGTTTGTTAGACTTAATCTTTTTTAACAAGATAACTCCACACAATACTGTACTCTTTTAGGGAAAATGCTGAGCAAGCCACCTAGATGCCTTGCTGGCTGAATTTCTTTTGAATTACAGAGTCCATGAGAGTTCGTAGGTGCCTCATATTCTTTGTAAAAGACATTTACCAGATGAGGAAACAGTTTTAATGCCCATTGTGCCGTAGACAGAGCAATGGAGTAGCCTTGTTGAAACTACATTCATACAGCATATGTTTTCTTATTTCCTTTTTTTCATATGACACTCCAAGGACTTAAATGAGTGAAATAGCTTTCTTTTTTCTTTCTGCTCAGATTCAAATTGCTAATTTTATCTAGTAAAGAATGGCCTCTGGTGAAAGAAGTGTCTCAGCACAGCACACAATATCAGATGGTCTCTTCTCAGCCCAAAGCACAGGCAAAATAAATTATTTATAAATGTCCCTTCATTTTTGGTTCTAATGTTGCACTGCTGCTTTTGAAAGATTTCCAGACCTTATGTAACCTTGTGTCTTATTCTGTCTGTCCGTCCTCAGCTCAGAGAGATGCCGGTCAATACTCGTGAGAAGCCCTGGAGGATGGATCCTGCCCAGGTGGCAGAGCGGCGGGACCTCAGAGAGACTCACCTGGTGTTCAGCATCGACCCGCAGGGCTGCGAGGACGTAGACGACACGTTGTCGGTGCGTAGACTCGCTGGCGGGAAGCTGTTGGAGCTGGGAGTCCACATCGCAGATGTCACCCATTTTGTCCCAGAGGGCTCACTCACTGACTTGGAAGCACGTACAAGGTAAGTAGCCGGTAGGATTATAGTATAGGTGCGATATATAACAAGGTGGGAGAAATACCAGAAACACCTGACAACACCTTGCTTTTCAAGTTTTCAAGGCACCATTCAAGTACAGAGAGGCCAGGATGTTGGTGCCTGAAAGTCTGATGCATCAGTCACACGCTCTTTTATTAATCATCATTAAATGTCTCAGTGCTGTGTGACAAAGTGTCTTTATCATTTTGTCCACCCCATGAATATAGTATTCATATTTGTCCTTGTATGGGACCTGATGCGGAAACAGGCTTCTGAAAAACACTAAACATGGAGAACATGTCTCTGCAACAATTCAGTGCAAGATTCTTTTGACGACTGTAACTCCTGCAGGAAGACCCCTCAGGTCTGGCAACAAAATATTATCAAAAGTTCCAGGCTTTAGACAAAGACTCCCACTCAGCATCAGATCAGAGGCTGTGAGGGCCAACGGATTTTTAACACCCACACTTGAAGGCTGCCATTTTATTTTTTTAATTCACTGGTTTTAAGTTTTATTTCTCTGTTTGACCTTCATTCATGGTATTGTATTTTGCACAACGACCTTGTAATTCTTGGTTTAAAAGGTGCTATAGAAATAAAGTTCACTCTCTGTGTAGTTTTTGTGTGGTTTAAAACTTCTGAAAAAAATTTGTTTATGCATGAAAAAACCATTACTTATTTAGTGTTTACTGTTTTCCCCCTTGACATTATTCTCAATCTGTCTCATTCTAAGGGCTACGACCTACTACCTGGCAGACCGCAGGTACGACATGTTGCCTGCTGTTCTCAGCGCAGACCTCTGCTCTCTGCTGGGTGGAGCCGACAGGTTGGTGAACTCCACGTTCTCCGCATTATGTTTTGGAAGGTGTTGACTTATTTAGCACACATTTGTGAACACATTTAAACGTGCACATGTTCCAGGTATGCAATGAGCGTGCTGTGGGAGCTCGATGCACACACCCTCGCAGTCAACAAGGTGTGGTATGGTCGCACGCTCATCCGCTCCTCCTACCAGCTCCACTACGAGCTGGCACAGGCGCTCCTTAATGGAGAGGAGGTTGAGGTACCGGAGCTGTCCGAGCTTGGGCCTGAGGAGAAGGACGCTAAGCTAGCTCAGCTCACCGAGGCCCTGGAGACGCTGACACATGTAGCCAGACACCTCCGGGCGCAGAGGGACAGAGGAGGTGCGCTGGAGCTGGAAGGGGTGGAGGTATGATTAGTTTCTCCTCTTTTACTATCCGGCTCTGTCAAAACAAAAAGAATCTAACAGCTTTTGTTTGTCTTGAAGCAGCGCCGGTTAACGATTACATACAGTAAATACACCATGTGTCTTTGGTTGGATGACAAATTGTACTGAGGACCAATACAGTGGAGTTATTTTTAAAACCTGACACCCAGGCCTGCAGAAAGGTGTTAATCTTATACAAGATCAGGAAGTAATTTCAGCTAGAATATTGTAAAAAAAAAAAAAGGCTGTGTAACTGCAGAGAACTGGTTATCTGTCAAAATATGATTTTCATCTTTAAGATGCTCTCTAATAAAGTCTTTTGTTTTATTTAGATATGTGTGATAGATTGAGTTGCAATACAGTAGGTGTCCTCATTAAAATACATTGGGGTATTTTGTGTGGTTGGCAATAGGCGGCCCGCGGGAAAAAGCCATCAGTAAACGTGTAATCGGATTCCCCTGAAGAAAAGAAATGAAAATAAGCATCCACAGGTTTATGAATGCGGATAAAACGCCGGGACGCGTGCATACACTGCAGCGCACGCTTTATTGTGAGCATATTGTGAGTTTGATTCTGATTCAGAGAGCTACAGTGCTGATGATAAAACATTTATCAATGCATCTTGATTAGTTATGTTTTCTCACTGTGTGACTACTTGCAACTTTTAGAACGTATTTTTAACGATCCATAAATAAAATAAACCGGTTAATTTACTTATATTATCTTTTAGTTTAGTTAGACAACTTGCTTTAGTGTTGTAAAGGCAGGAACTTTTTTTTGTTTTAAAAATTTAAACATTCACTGCAGATCATTGACCATAATTCCTACTCTAAGAGTAAGAGGCACTCAAATACCGGCATATTGTCAATAAGAAAAAGTAATACTCCATCATAAGACTCTTGACCTTTTGATAATTTCTAATCTCGAGCTTGCGCTCGTTTATACAGGGCTGGAAAAAGGTTGACTCATTCCCATTATTAACTTTTCTGCTTCAAGACATAATCTTTCAAGAGAGAGATTTTCCCTCCCACCGCTGCAAAATAACCAATGTTTATTTAACCCTCCTGGAATAACAGCATCTCTATTACCTTCCTGTGCAGTTGTGAAAATTGTTTGTCGCTTCTTGGCCAGTGAAAACTATGCGATGAATTGATGAATTACTCAAACTGACAGTCCTGCAATAATGACAACTGAAGAAAACAGCAATTGTCTTCAAGGAAAACTTGTCAAAAAAACTTTAAATATGTCCGCCTCTCAATAGTTTCACTTCACTCCTCCTGGCTCTCAGGTCCAATCCCATTGGTTCATTCTGAAGACACAAATATAGAGTTCAATTTTTAAAAAGGCTCTAGTAATTTCCTAAAACAGCTGCTCACTGTAGTTGTCAAACAGCAGGACATAGTTCTTTTGTTGGGGACTATTTTCAGCGGCGGATTAACCCAGATTTGGTGCTCTAGTAAGAATTTGTCCCACTTATGTATTGGTTAATAGTTTTTGGACAACAATGGAGCTCTGCGGCTCAGAGGAAAAAGTCAATCAGGCTGTGACACACACAGTACGTGTTGGGAGATACATTCATTGTTGTTTTTTTGTCTTTTCATGGGATTTGTTGACAATATTGCCAGCCTTATCCTTTAATATCTACACTCAGAGCTCTTGTAAAGTTTAAAGAGTTTTTGTTTTCAAGACTTTGTTAAAACCACTTGCTTTTCAGTAACACAGTTTGTACCCAGCTGATCCCTCTATGTACATGCATCCCTGTCTGTTCACTACATAAAACTCCCCTGAGTATGTGTTCTGTATTTTTTAATCCTTTCACATGTTTGAATCAGACATTTCACCATCGCTCCTCAGGTGCGTGCCCAGCTGGATGAGGAGAGGAACATCACAGCCCTCGTCCCCCGTCAGCCCCTGGAGATCCATGAGACGGTGGCCGAGTGCATGATTTACGCCAACCACTGGGTGGCGCGCAAGATCCAGGAGACCTTCCCTCATCAGGCCCTGCTGAGGCGCCACCCGCCACCACGGCAGGAGCTCTTCAGCCAGCTGCTGGAGTGCGCCACGGCGGGGGGATTCACCATCGATACCAGGTGACTGTATGGAAGCTGAGCAGGTGCATTTTTACTAATTTCATGCAGTGCATGTTGTTTTGGAGTCAAAGACGGCTTCCAAAAAAAAAAATCTCTGCCCTCTGCCAGTGAAAAACTACAACTGTTGCGCTCATTCACACAACAATTACTCGACTGAGACGATCTGTCTCACTGCATTTTAACAGAGGCTGATATTTCAACATGTAATTCTGTTCCTACAGGACCAACAAGAGCTTAGCTGACTCTCTGGACCAGGCTGTGGACCCGCAGGACCCACTGGTGAACAGGCTGCTGAGAATGATGGCCACTACAGCCATGTCACAGGCTCTGTACTTCTCTACTGGTCTTGAGTCCCAAGACCAGTACTACCATTATGGTATAGAATGTGTCTAATTACTACGATTTGATGCAAAAATTTTAACTAAAAATCGCAGACAAAAAAATGTAACTGCTGACGTCTATTTTTCTGTGTCTTAGGTCTGGCTCTGGAACGCTACACGCATTTCACCTCGCCCATTCGTCGCTATGCCGACATCGTGGTCCACCGCCTTCTCACCGCAGCTATTGACATGGAAAGAGGCGTGGACTCGGGGAAAGCGATAGCCAGTCACAAAGAACTGGAAGGAATAGCTCAGCATATCAACTGCAAGAACCGGGTCAGTGCTGTTCTGTAGTTCTGTGGCTTTATTTTCTATATATATAAGTGAAAGAGTCTCTTCTGACCTCTGTATGACCTTTCCAGGCAGCCCAGCGGGCCCAGAAGTTGTCCACAGTGTTGTTTCAGTGTCTCTTCTTCAAAGAAAGAGACCCTCAGACAGACCAGGGCTGCGTGGCGGACGCTGTCATCTACTCTATCCGGGACAACGGCGTGTTGGTGTTTGTCCCAGAGTAAGAAACGAGCCGCCGACTTAACGATAGATTAGATTTGTTCACTTTTTGTTGGATGAGAATGACACTTTATTTTTCTTATTGTCATCAAGTTCCACGAAAAGACCAAAACCAACAACGTGTGTTAGTTCGTCTCTCAGTACTTTCTCTCTTCCTGTCTGTGGCTCTCACCTCCAGGCCAGCTGGTTCCTTCTGAAGACATAAATCTTTAAAACTGGCTCAAGTAGATAGTTTCAATGTGAAAAAGCTGCTCACTGTAGTTGTTCTCAAACAGGAGGAAATAGTGCTGTTGTTTATTTATTGTGTCTATTTTCAGCAGCGGATGTGGAGTTCTAGTGAGTATTTAGGGACTGAGTCAGAATAAACTCTAATAGTTTACTATACTAATGAAGCTGTCTGGCTCAGATGAAGAAGAGACATCAGGACACGAGACCGTACACTGTTGGTCTTTTCATGGGATGTGTTTACAGTAAGCAAGTATTGAGTAAGATATGATATTTTATGGTGAGTGGGAAATTAACGATCATTTATGATACTGTAAAATGATTTGGTGCTTTTCAGTAACACTTACAATATACTCACTAAGAACGTTGTGACATCTAAAAGTTTAGTTTTAAACTGGTCTAATCTATCTGATTTAGATGCATCTACAAATCTATATAACCGTTGTCTCATTGCGTTTTCACATCTTCGTACCTCATCATTTAAATACTCTTAAAAACACTTAAGAGATCATTTGACCGGCAAATCACCAAATCGAGGCTTTCTGGGATGGTGTGGTTTTTAATAAGCACTAACCCTGAAGAGACCACTCTGCATGACTGTATTCATCTGTGGTGGAACAAAATAACTGAAAAATAAGATGTGCTACAATCTTGAATTTAAAAATCCATTAGTCAACCTAACATTTTGGAAACATTCTTTGGGCTGTTTTTGGCAAATTACACTTAAAATTGCCCAAAAAGAACATTTTTAATTGAAAGTACTGCTTTGTAGTAGTTGACGGTCAGTGTAATAAAATGGTCCAATCTGGCAGTTCTGACTACACCTGTCCTCGTTCCAGGTATGGTGCGAAAGGGCCGGTGTATATGAAGGATCGCGAGGGCCAGGTGGTGGCTGCAGGACGGGACGGCAGCTGTGAGTGGCAGAGCGGCTCCGTGCGACGATACCCAGACCACATCACCACCACCTCCAGCTGCGGGACCTCCACCTTCAGAGTGTTTGACCACATCACCGTGAGTCGCAGAACAGATTTATTATTTACTGGACAACACTGACTTTAAGTGGAATCATACGGTGACGATATTGTTTTGTCGTTTAAGGAACGCTGTGCAGTTGTCTTTTTTTACCTCTATCCGTGACTTTTAACAAACGTGTCAAATTAATTTCCTTCCACATAAAAATTCTACAGAGTTGATTTTTTTTTAAATATACGCTCACCTAAAGGATTATTAGGAACACCTGTTCAATTTCTCATTAATGCAATTATCTAATCAACCAATCACATGGCAGTTGCTTCAATGCATTTAGGGTCCTGGTCAGGACAATCTCCTGAACTCCAAACTGAATGTCAGAATGGGAAAGAAAGCTGATTTAAGCAATTTTGAGCATGGTTGTTGGTGCCAGACGGGCCGGTCTGAGTATTTCACAATCTGCTCAGTTACTGGGATTTTCACGCACAACCATTTCTAGGGTTTACAAAGAATGGTGTGAAAAGGGAAAAACATCCAGTATGCGGCAGTCCTGTGGGCGAAAATGCCTCGTTGATGCTAGAGGTCAGAGGAGAATGGGCCGACTGATTCAAGCTGATAGAAGAGCAACTTTGACTGAAATAACCGCTCGTTACAACCGAGGTATGCAGCAAAGCATTTGTGAAGCTACAACAGCAGAAGACCCCACCGGGTACCACTCATCTCCACTACAAATAGGAAAAAGAGGCTACAATTTGCAAGAGCTCACCAAAATTGGACAGTTGAAGACTGGAAAAATGTTGCCCGGTCTGATGAGTCTCGATTTCTGTTGAGACATTCAGATGGTAGAGTCAGAATTTGGCGTAAACAGAATGAGAACATGGATCCATCATGCCTTGTTACCACTGTGCAGGCTGGTGGTGGTGGTGTAATGGTGTGGGGGATGTTTTCTTGGCACACTTTAGGCCCCTTAGTGCCAATTGGGCATCGTTTAAATGCCACGGCCTACCTGAGCATTGTTTCTGACCATGTCCATCCCTTTATGGCCACCATGTACCCATCCTCTGATGGCTACTTCCAGCAGGATAATGCACCATGTCACAAAGCTCCAATCATTTCAAATTGGTTTCTTGAACATGACAATGAGTTCACTGTACTAAAATGGCCCCCACAGTCGCCAGATCTCAACCCAATAGAGCATCTTTGGGATGTGGTGGAACGGGAGCTTCGTGCCCTGGATGTGCATCCCACAAATCTCCATCAACTGCAAGATGCTATCCATCAATATGGGCCAACATTTCTAAAGAATGCTTTCAGCACCTTGTTGAATCAATGCCACGTAGAATTAAGGCAGTTCTGAAGGCGAAAGGGGGTCAAACACAGTATTAGTATGGTGTTCCTAATAATCCTTTAGGTGAGTGTATATATATATATATATCTTAAATCCTGCTTTGCTTACATACAGTGAGGAAAATAAGTATTTGAACACCCTGCTATTTTGCAAGTTCTCCCACTTAGAAATCATGGAGGGGTCTGAAATTGTCATCGTAGGTGCATGTCCACTGTGAGAGACATAATCTAAAAAAAAAAATCCAGAAATCACAATGTATGATTTTTTTTACTATTTATTTGTATGATACAGCTGCAAATAAGTATTTGAACACCTGTCTATCAGCTAGAATTCTGACTCTCAAAGACCTGTTAGTCTGCCTTCAAAATGTCCACCTCCACTCCATTTATTATCCTAAATTAGATGCACCTGTTTGAGGTCGTTAGCTGCATAAAGACACCTGTCCACCCCATACAATCAGTAAGAATCCAACTACTAACATGGCCAAGACCAAAGAGCTGTCCAAAGACACTAGAGACAAAATTGTACACCTCCACAAGGCTGGAAAGGGCTACGGGGAAATTGCCAAGCAGCTTGGTGAAAAAAGGTCCACTGTTGGAGCAATCATTAGAAAATGGAAGAAGCTAAACATGACTGTCAATCTCCCTCGGACTGGGGCTCCATGCAAGATCTCACCTCGTGGGGTCTCAATGATCCTAAGAAAGGTGAGAAATCAGCCCAGAACTACACGGGAGGAGCTGGTCAATGACCTGAAAAGAGCTGGGACCACCGTTTCCAAGGTTACTGTTGGTAAAACACTAAGACGTCATGGTTTGAAATCACGCATGGCACGGAAGGTTCCCCTGCTTAAACCAGCACATGTCAAGGCCCGTCTTCAGTTTGCCAATGACCATTTGGATGATCCAGAGGAGTCATGGGAGAAAGTCATGTGGTCAGATGAGACCAAAATAGAACTTTTTGGTCATAATTCCACTAACCGTGTTTGGAGGAAGAAGAATGATGAGTACCATCCCAAGAACACCATCCCTACTGTGAAGCATGGGGGTGGTAGCATCATGCTTTGGGGGTGTTTTTCTGCACATGGGACAGGGCGACTGCACTGTATTAAGGAGAGGATGACCCCCCATGTATTGCCAGATTTTGGGGAACAACCTCCTTCCCTCAGTTAGAGCATTGAAGATGGGTCGAGGCCGGGTCTTCCAACATGACAATGACCCGAAGCATACAGCCAGGAGAACCAAGGAGTGGCTCTGTAAGAAGCATATCAAGGTTCTGGCGTGGCCTAGCCAGTCTCCAGACCTAAACCCAATAGAGAATCTTTGGAGGGAGCTCAAACTCCGTGTTTCTCAGCGACAGCCCAGAAACCTGACTGATCTAGAGAAGATCTGTGTGGAGGAGTGGGCCAAAATCCCTCCTGCAGTGCAAACCTGGTGAAAAACTACAGGAAACGTTTGACCTCAACAAAGGCTACTGTACCAAATATTAACATTGATTTTCTCAGGTGTTCAAATACTTATTTGCAGCTGTATCATACAAATAAATAGTTAAAAAATCATACATTGTGATTTCTGGATTTTTTTTTAGATTATGTCTCTCACAGTGGACATGCACCTACGATGACAATTTCAGACCCCTCCATGATTTCTAAGTGGGAGAACTTGCAAAATAGCAGGGTGTTCAAATACTTATTTTCCTCACTGTACGTGTTTACTTGCTAGCAGTGTTCCTCTTCACTGCTACAGTTCTTGGTTCACTACCCGCCACCAACTGTCATTCAGCAGAATAGCTAAACTGGCGGCGGTGAATTGCATCGCCCCTGTGATTGGCTGAGTCCTTGTACATGTTACAAATAAAATAAACATTACTCCATAGTGCTAGTAATGGTCACAAACACCACTGGGTATCTTTTAATAATTAAATTAATAAAAAAAGGGTTAAGGTTTGGTTGTTTTATGATAAATATTCCTACCAGTATCAGGACATTTCCTGAATGAGTTAGTTTTTCCCAGATGTAGATATGTTGATGTCCTGGTTTCCTTAACGTGTTATTCATTTTCACACATAATATTGAGGAATACTTTGTGACAGTTTGAGTCCTCTGCTCCCCACAGGTTCGTATTTCTGTCCCGCTCGACGCATTGCCACGCAGACAGCCTAAACCTCGAGGTCATCAGCAGCAAGCCCCACCGCAGCGCAGAGCCCCAGCAGACCCGGTCCCAGGGCCGCAGCCAGCTGGTCCAGGAGGTGGTGCGTCTGGCCGAGGAGGCGCACCAGCAGGCCCAGGAGAAGGCGGCCCGGCGCCCCAAACTCTCCAAAGAGGAGAGAGAGTTCTGTCAGAGCAAAACTCCCAATCTGTACTCGCTCCTGGAGGAGGTGAGAGAGCTGGCTCTGATGGACCTGGAAGTGGTCGCACAGGTCTGTGCAACGACGGCATAGAGCGGCCGCAACCTGGGCTCAGCTGTAAAGGAAGCGAGGGACTCTGGAAACATATCATGGATGACTTCTGTATACGTCTCATAGGTATATCAGTTTACATCCATGAACAAATAACATTAAAGCCAAGCGGGCGTTTGTCTTTCACAAAAGGACATTTTTATGAATCATGATGGCAGATTTCTAGTTATTTATTATCTGAGAATTATCTTTCTGTCATTTGAAGAACAAATGCTCGACAGTGAGATGTGTAAATGAGGTCTTTAATGATATTAAATGAGAAATATACTGATTTTTGTGGACGTTTTCGTTACGTTGGTCCCAATAAAACAACCCCAGATTAAAATTTTATGTAAATAGAGAAGAACTGTTGGTTGAAGTAGACATTAAATGAAGCACTGACTTTTGATGACACTTTATAGATACTGATACAAATAAGCATAAACTAATGTTTAACATCTAGAGTTAATGAAGCACCAAAATGATAATTGGATTTATATATTTTTCAAAACCATTGATAACAAAGTTCTTCACTGTTCACAGTGTGTAGCATAATGTAGAGCCTGATATTTGAGAGTTGGGTAATCCAATAATGATATATGGGCCAATATTTGTTCAGTATTACAAAGCACAGTATACACTATGTATTCATTTGTGTAACATAATGTTGTAGCTGTTCGTTTAAATTAAATTTCCATTTAAACACAGCTGCCAATTTCAGATTTAGAAATTTAAAAACAGAAAACAGGATGTTTCTCCAAAGATAAAATTTTAAGTTTTAATCTTTAAACTAATTGGCTTCTTATTTTTACTGAATTGATGGACCGGTGTCCAAACGCACGCTCAAGTCTGTTTTCAGTAAACCTACCGGCTAATTTTCTACACACAAGTGTTAAGTGAAATCCCGGTCAGAGTGACTGCATGGTGTCGACCTGTAAGCTTCAGCCTCCTCCTGTGGTCATCATATCAGCTGATCTCGAGCATCAGCACTGTGACCACAAACACATAGTACTACCTTTAATAGGAAGCGGGTGCGAGTTGCTCAGGTAGGCGCTGCAGTAATCATTGACTTGTAATCTAATTGGTGCTCGTGCTTTTTTGTATGAAGGTAAAGTGTTTCCACAGAATCTATTTTTGTAAAATGGTTTATTGTGGCTTTTAATTAAACCTGTATGGATGAACACTGAAGTCTTGTGTAAGTCTGAAGCCCTTTATTTCAGGTACAGTATTTAGTTATTACAACATTTGACCTGCTGTCTGTTGGATCAGACCACACAGGCCAACATGTCGCCGGTTCACGGCGGTTCACGTACTGACCCGGTCGTCTAGCCATCACACAGTTTGGCCCTTGTCAGTCACTCAAATCCTACTTCTAACACATCAAGTTTCAGGACAAAATCTTCACTTGCTGCCAAATATATCCCGCCCACCGACAAATGCCTTTTTAACGAGATAATCAGTGTTATTCACGTCATACTGTTACGGCTGATCGGTGTACATCTGATGCTGTACTGTATGTGAAAGGTGAGATCATAGAAGTGTCGTTATACTTAGTATAGATTCAATATTACAAGGAAATGTTTATTGTTTGGCATTTAAAAACCGGTAAGGACGCCAACTATGCCGTGATTTATCAAAGATAAAAACACACAGCTCGGGTCGCGCAGTTTTACAGACGTTACCTGCAGTGACTTTTTCATGCTGCACTGATTTGTTTTACTACATGAAAAAACTGCAGGCAGGCTTGTTTGAATGAAAAAAGAAGAGCTATTTGTTTAGTTTTTAATATTAAGGATCAACAGACTATTTAAGGAACAGCTAGTACAGTTCAACAATAAATGAAATTTGTGAAACCAAATAAAACGCAGCCAATGATAAAATCTGAAAGAGACTGATGGAAACAGATGTGGGATCAGTGCTTAATTATACGTATTTCAGACAGGAACAAGGGGAACAGGAATTCAGAAACAAAGTTGGCTTAGCTCTCTGCAGACTACAAGAATACCACTTGTGCACTAATTTGATTCACTGCCAAAAGATTTTGGCCGTACAGTTAGCAGCTCCTGAACTCAACGAGTGTGTGCTGCACTTAATCCCCGTCCTCACACTCGTTGCTGGGTTCAAGGTTGGTTTCATCCTCTTTCTCACGCTGAGGTGATTCATCAGAAGGTTCAGAGTCTTTGTGTGGAAGCCGGCCAGGTTGTTGTGCGCTGCTGCTGCTGCAGGCTGACTCCTGGTCTAAATCCTCCACCTCCACATCCTGATCTTTGGAGTTGTTTAAGACATTGGCAGAGGAGACGGATGTGGGTTCATCTGCTGACGTGGACGAGTCAACAGTCTGGGAGTCTGAAGGATCTAGTGGGCGGCAGGAGGAATTGTGCACATGGACATCAAAAATGTGTTCCATTTAACTACTTTCCACTCATCAAAACTGAAGAGGTGCGTTCTTGGATTACTATAATGTACAGACTGGTCTGAAGGGGATGCATTCATTAAAGATTATCGGGAGCCACAACATGATTTTTGATTTATCTTAATGCTTCTTCTTTGCAACTGGCTGAGATATGCCTGCATCATTTGTAGGGGGCATCATTTGTAGGGGGCATCATTCGATTATTTTTTACTGTGTCTCAAATCCGGACAAATCTTATATTTGCTTCACAGAACTGATGAAGGGCCTCTCACCTGTTTGCTGCTGCTGGCGGGCGAGTTTTCTCTCCAGGGCCCGCTGTCTGTTCAGCTCCATGCGCTTACGCTGCTCCTCAGTCAGGGAGGGGGCAGCCGGGGAGGTAGAGGGTGGGGCAGCTGGAGCCGGGGTAGAGTGGACCGGCCTTTGCACGTCATCAGGGAAGATTGCTCTGCTAAACGGCTCTGGATCCTCAAAGACTTGCGACTCAGGAGCTGCCTCTTCTTCACCTAAACCCAAAAATGTTTCACAGACCCGTGAATTCAGAGAGAAAACACTCACTTTCACATAAATATTTTTTATGCGGCCTCACACTGGCAGATGTTATTGATTTGGGGGAGGTTCCACGTTTCACTCTCCAGTTCTTTCAGCAAAGCCAACCTCTTGAGACAGACCCTTGTACAGTACACCACCACATGGTGCTAATGTGAGGTTTCAGCTGATGCTCATCCACTCGTGAAGTTTAAAAACTAACAAAAAACCAATGAGCTGAACAGAATAAACCCAAGGAAACCAAATGATACCATCTCGGACGTTTGGCTGGTGCAGCAGATGATTTTATGCAACAAAAGTCAATTTAGCCAGAAACATTCAGGTGATCATTTTGAATTTTAGATAAATTTTGAATGCAGCACAATAAATAGTGTGTTAAATATCTTTACCCATATGATCTTCGTGCGTCAGTGGCATGTCCAGTCGAATCCGTTTGAGACACGTCTGCCACAGAAACAAAAAGAAAAGGCATTTAATTACAAATACTGCACTGTGAAAACAATAAGTACATTTCATTGACATATTCAGCGTCAACGTCTTCATCCCACCTGCACTTCCTTCTTGTTGCCGAGCTTCTCCACTCTGTCAATAAAATCTTCAAACTGCAGTTTGGGGTATAACCGGTGGGCCCAGTTCTCCATCTTCTGCATCAGCAGGCGCAGGTCCTCAGCCTGGTTGGACAAAACACACAAACACCACAAAACGTTGGCTAAATGTACATATGATGAAGTACGGCCAAGATTAAATGCTCCACAAGCGTCTGCGTCGTTTGGTGCTGTTCATTTGTCTGTTGTCAAGCTCTTACCTCGTGCCCTTTGCCTTTGAAATGGACATCATCAAACAGCGTTCGCAGAGCTGGAAGTCCTCTTTCTGAGATCAGCCTGAAGAAAGTAGTGTCACATGTATATTTAGTCACTTGGGGGAAAGTTCACAGTTCATAAAGTAGTTAGACCTTTTCCACTGACAACAGCTGACTTGCGTTGCCTTTCCCAACAATAAAAGTGTATTATTTTCATGCTTTGTGGCATCCTGGTGTATAGATGGCATTAGCCAACAACTCAATGTACTTTTTAAATCTGCATTTGAATAAATTTAAATCCTCTGCCGTGATGTTACGATCCCGATGTTTGAGGTACCTGTGCGAGTCTAGCTTGGGCTGTGGCCTCCTCACTCCTTTTCTTTTAGCAGCAGGGACCTCAGCCAACTTGGACACCTCGCCGTCTTCATCCTCTGCATTTACCACACCACATGACAACAGGGCAGGTGGTCAACATCACAGAAAACTTTCAGCAGGGCAGACTAGGAGTCAGCACTTACCATAATTCAATAATTCTCTCCAATTTCTAGGTATAAACTGGCTTAAAATGTTGACTGTTCTCTTTCTGTAGGATTTTGACAGCGGCCTACATGCAGCTTCTCACCATTTCCAAAAGGGTCTCCGTCCTCTTGTCCTCCCTGGCCCGGGGAGTGAGGTGGTGGGAGGGGAGGGAAAGCTTCATCCTTTAGGCCATCAAATGGATCCAGCATCGTGTGTAACTCCTGGATTAAGTATTAAATTGACACTCATTTTTACTTCAATCTGGCTGCATGCAGAACTAGACGTGCTGTTTTTCTAGGACTATTGCGTTTACTGCAGTACAACCATGAAAACAGCCACAGATGAACTCATGACTCATCACTAACATGATTAATTTTGGTTTTAAAAATCAGTGCCAGTATATCTGAGTGGTACATTTAGCTAATACTTTTATCTAAAGCGACTTACAAGTGATCAGAGTCAGAGGTCACATGCCCCTGGAGCAACAAGGGGTTAAGCGGTGTCTTATCCACTGTAGCATTGTGTTGTTTTGCAACAAACATATGAAATTATGATATGGACCGATTGGAAAAGTAACAAAAAATACTGTTATCCTTTATACCTCGAAAAGCTGTACTTATTCACACTTCACTACATTTCTTGACAGATTCATATTACATAATAATATGCATTATATATTTAATATATATAATTGTCTTATGAAATGGCCATGCATTGTTATGCATCTAATTATCCACCTGTTTACAAAGCTGTAATAGCAGCTTCACCTCAACTAACTACAACATTAAAAATACTCCTTATATGTTATGTAGATGTGTACAGTACCTCCATACAAGGGTTAGTACGAATATTGGTCCCCGATATCAAATCTCGCTCTCCCGGCGTGACCTGTATCGGCCATGAAAACACAAATATCGGTCGACCACCGCGTCATCCACGTGAAGGCGGCAAACTCAAGCTTAGCCAAAACACTAAAACCCGTCAGTCTCCTGAATTTCACTGCCACACGGGAGGACAGGAGGATCTGGGACAGCCAGGGTCAACAGGACACTCGCGTCTTCGTCTGAACATAACTTTATTTCTGAGTTAGGTTTGTTTGTAAGAGAGTAAACAACGCGCTGCTAAGCTAACGTTAACTACGAGCGGCTGCGACACTGTGGGTAAGTTAGTAAGCTAACATGAGAGCTAACTTAACAGCCGTCGGCGAAACTGTAAAGCACAATGTGTCAGCTTAAAACATAAGTCACAGACATTATAATATCTTATAAAATACGACACTGTATTAAAGGGAAATGTCACAGTATTGTCTTACCAGTTACGAGGTGTCCGGCGGAGAAACCGCTAGCAGTGCAAAGCTAGCAACATTTACTTCCGGTACGAGGTTTTGTATTTTCAAAATAAAGTCCAACAGAAATTACCCATAACCTATAGTTAGAGTGATGACTGTGAGGAAGTATGAAAAATAAGTTATACTTCTTATTAAGAACCAATAAACCTACTGTTTAGTACTTTTAAGGGCATCTCTATAGATCTTAAAACAAGAAAAATAATGTATTACAAACATATGTCTACACACACACACACACAAACTTTGTAATTGTTTAAAAATATTTTGATGAACACGTTGGCATTAATATAGTAGGGACATGGTAAAAATCATAGACTGTATTTAAGTAAAAATCTTTATAGATTCAGCAACAAACGATGTGGGATAAAGTTTACACTAAAAAAATCATCAAAGGCAAAGTGTTTTTTCATCACATAAATTTAGGTTTGTTATATAGGCACAAAATATGCAAATGAATGATGGCTGTTGTAATGCTTTGTTTGCAAACATTACTGATATAAATAAGCAATTTACAACATCAGAAAACATAAATTTAGGCTTTTTATAAAGAGCAGGGCTGTCGCTGGGAATCTTGGGGGTTTTTAAGGGCGCTCTGATCGATCGGCCACCGATCATAATGGCCGATAATGGCTTTAACTAGACCGGTGGTCGCTAAAAAGGGCGATAAGAAAAGCTGATCAGATGATACAATACAAATTTTCAGCGGCAGCTAAAATGTTTCACTACGCTGTCTGAGTGTTTTTCAAAGCTAGCTAGCACCAAAGTGAAAAACGGAGACCTTTTGCTATGTTTCCGCCTCCCGTCCAGATTAAAACGGTCAATGCAAAAAACAAAAGAAGCAAAAAGCCTGGTGTGGTTCTTGGTTTGTATTAATTTCACCGTCTTCTTCATGTTTACACTGGCACGCGCATGCCCAGTGTAGCCACCTGAACGGCCGCTAGATGTGTCGTTCTAATATTGACAGAGATCAACTCTGATACGCAGCTGAAACGCTGCTGTGGACGGAGAAGATCGTTTTCGTTTTAAAAACGTAGCAGTGTGGATGTAGCCTCACATTACCCCACTCCTCTCTCTACTCCTCTCATGTCAACCCTCCCGTTTTCCCCGAGATTCTCCCGTATTTTTAACCTTTATAAAGTCAAATAAAAATCTTCTGGCCGTATTTAAAGTGTTTGCTATTCTCTCCTCTGGTAAAGTCGGTGGCAGCATGTAAGATATGTAGACTGAGCTTCCTGCACAAGGATTAAAAATGAAAACAATCCACTGAAAGGCCTATAGCCTACTAATGGCAAACCATGTGAAATTATAATGAATATAGTTGCCTATGTAATATTAACAATTGACTGTATAATATGGAATTTACATTGTAGCCTATTTTTATTTATTTCAATCTCTCTCAAGCAGCTACTTCAGAGTTTATATCCACTCATGATGCCTGAACTCCTTTATCTCCTAAATATTTTTGGCTACAGCCTTTTTTGTTGCAGTTTTTATGGTTGTAGTAAATTTATAAAGATGCTGTTTGTTCAGTTTTTGTAGTTTATTCCACAGTAAAGCTATATTTGTTAAGCTATAAGATGTTCACAGTAACCAGGCAAAGGCTGCTATGATTTAAGTCTCCAACACAGATTGAGTGGAATTTGTTGCCCATGTTTCCTGGCAATAAAATGAACAGTTGTCATTTAATGATACTTTATCATCTGTTAACTTTAACACTTAATACATTGTTTTTAGGACCAATTAAATAAATATACTGTATAATGCTACATGATAAATAAAAGGCTCCAAATAGACCCAGTGATCGGTATCGGCCGATGCTGCTTTCAGCAATCGGCGATCGGCCCAAAAAATCCTGACCGGAGCACCTCTAGGGGTTTTAATAACTTGAGCAGGACTTTACATTCAACAATTACATAAATCATACATGGTGAGTTTTTAAGGCTCAACATTCGTAAATTGGATCGTTTTGAAGGCCAAAAAAGAAACGAAAACGATTTTTGTATTTTTCCACCTAAAACCTATCGTGACATCAACAGTTAAATCAATTTATAAAATGTGATGGAAAAAATACTAAGGTAGCGTTGTTATTGGTGATAAGTTAAAAACACATCAGGGTTGACTTTGAGGTGACCTCAGTATTTCTAAATTCGTTCATGGCTACAGCCCTGCATATGTTTTGTGCGTTTGACGGTTCAGGCATCTAAAAATACGTCATTTAAAATAAAATCACTGCAATAAACTATAATCATTCTGTGTACTCAACACCTGGAGTTTTAATTTCATGTTAGTTTCCCCTCTCTTATAATTTGCATCCAGCTCCAGGACCTTTAAGTTGAAGGGTAAAACGCCGTACAGGAAAATGTGTTTCTGTAAATTTTGTCTGACTTGTCGCAGCTCCTTATGAATAAATTATCAGAGCAACATTTTTCTCACTCAGTAATTTGCACCATTTAAGTCTTAGAAATGTATTTAATTGGAGTTTATGATCCACAGAGAGTACAACACTTTTTGTCTATCTCTCTTATTTCTTCATTTTACAACTTGTTGACAATAAACCATCTCCTCTCTGCAGTTAGCTTGAGTAGCCTATAAAACTTTGCTCTGTGTCAAAAAACCACACAAGTTTGACCCGTTTTTTAAAAAGGTAATATGTCAAGCTTGAGTTAATGCTTCCAGAGTTAGACAGGTACTGGCTATTTTGACTCGATAGTAACAACCTGAAAAGTGTTTATTCAAAACAGAACTGCAGGACAGGTAAATCAACAAAATGCTCTGGACAGGATAAAGTTTTACAGCTTTGCAAAAGTCACTCTCAGATTCATTTCTTTAGCTTCAAGGCCACAGGTCGTCTGGTTTGATGAACACAGGGGATGTGACTCTGTGTGTGTTTGTGCTCTCAGAGGCGTCCACGCAGCAGGAACATGAGGAAGATTGCGCTGAGGAGGATGCAGAGCGTACACACTGTGGGAACCACAATCTCTGTTACCATCTCCATGTGGCCTATCAACGGATCTGAAAGACACAGATGGAAAAGTAAGTAAATGTCTCCACTTACAGTCCCAGCGTCAAACCCCTGTGAAGGGCCCCCATGGACCCTGGGCGGAAACATTAGGATTTATTTAAATTTTAATGTCTTCATTTAATTGCTGTTAATGACTTCTGTGTGTATTTGACTTTTAAACAATTAATTGACTATTTCTAATTTCTGAGGTTTTGTCCCTTGGACCCAGAGATTTGTTTCATTAGACCAAAAGAACAACGTTCGACTTATACTTGCTTATGTTATATGTCAAAACACATACACACACATCTGTTTATTTATATTAATATTAGATTTCATCACATGACAAAAAGTTGCTTGTTGTTAGCTAATTTTACCAATACAATGTCCAACCCACATTGCAGAACTAACCCTCTTGGGGGCACAAATATTAACGACCCTCTCTCTCACTCACACATGTTAATGTGGGAATATGCAACATATTGTATATGTACAAAAATGTAATAATGAAGGTCTTAATATTCAGAACTCAAGACAAGGCCTCAAGATCAGGTAGTAAATATAGGACGTAGCCTAATATCCTTCATTTTCCTTTTCCTTTATGAACTAGGTAAACAACTATAAGAGTACACACATTATTATACACACACACATGTTCATGTTTCATTTATTTATTTTATTTTTATATATATTTTCTAACACACACACACACACACACACTTACCATTTTATTTATTTGTTTAATTAAAATTTTTAATATATATTTTTTTAACACACATACACACACGTTTACTGTTTTAATTATTTATTTTATTTTTAATATATATTTTTTTTAACAAACACACACACACTAACACACGCTTACTGTTTTTTTATTGATTTTATTTTTAATATATATTTTTTAAACATGCACACACACACGCTTACTGTTTTATTTATTTTATTTTTAATATATTTTATTTTTTACAAAGACACACACAAACAAACACACACGCTTACAGTTTTATTTATTTTATTTTTAATATATTTTATTTTTTACAAAGACACACACAAACAAACACACACGCTTACTGTTTTATTTATTTATTTATTTTTTAATATTTTTTTTAACGCACACACACGCTTACTGTTTTATTTTTTTTATTTTTTTTTATATATTTTTATTTTTTAACGCACACACACGAACAAACACACACGCTTACTGTTTTATTTATTTATTTTCTTTTTAATATATTTTTATTTTTTAACACACACACACGCTTACTGTTTAATTTTTTATTTTATTTTTAATATATTTTTATTTTTTACACACACACACACGCTTACTGTTTTATTTATTTATTTTATTGAAATTTCTATATTTTATTTTTCTTTTTTTTTTTTAAACACAAACACACATACACTTTGATTACTTTACGCTTTAATTGTTTAATGAAATGTATGGGGCTGATTGTTCTTATGTTGTGTTTATATATGATGCTTTGGCAATGTTGTTATTACATTCATGCCAATAAAGCTAATTTGAATTTATTCAGAATAGACAAGGACCCACTTATGTCAGCTAAGGTTTTACTTCTGTTGTGCAGACAAACAAATTTACCATTTAATTCGCACAAACCACTTGACACACAGTCATTCCAAAGTTTTTAGGGCTCCTGGAGTTGAGAGGCCCTGCAACAGTTACCCACTTTGCCCAGTTGGTGCAGCAGCCTTACTAACCCCCAAAACAAGCCGGCTTTAAGTCTTTGAATTAGTCATTTGACCCCAAAAATTCTTATAGAATTTTTTTTAGTCAAACTGCTATTCAAGTTCAAGGACTGGAAACTGAGCTGACTAATAAAGCTGTACGTTTCAATCCATAAGTCATTTGAAACATGTTCCTCATTGGAGAAATGTTAATGTTGCCACCGGTCTTTTCTAATCTGCAAAGTGACTAATAACTACAGCTGTCAGTTGTAGCATAGCGTAAACACTCACTCTGATCTCACTCAGAAATGCATCAACTTTTGTACCTAAACTTCATCATGCACTGGCCAAGCCTTTTGCATTCCTGCATGTTCCTGATTTGCCTGGGATTTTCTTCTAGCTGGAGGGGCAAAACAAAGAAAAGCCCCGTTAGATAGCGGAACAACAAGCTTGAGACAGAATTTTCCTTTGTTTGGCCCCACCTAGCTTATCACAGCCGACACTTTTAATGCTTTATTGTACTAACCTGCAGCCAGGAGCTGGTTACTGGAGGAGCAAGTCTCCACGGCTTTCCTCTTCCAGCTTTCCACCTGAAAAGATCCAAGAAACTCTCAGCAGTTAAACCACATAATCTGCTCCAGAGGGATTTTTAACGCGGAGTAAGGTGTTAAGAGTTTACCTCTCTCTGATTGGGAAAGCCATTAGAGCTGATGATACGTTTATAGAACTGGACAGAGGCCTTCGGGTAGCGTGGTTTGTTTTTGCTCCTGAAGTCCACATAGTAGAGTCCGAACCTCTCAGAGTATCCTTCATCCCACTCAAAGTTGTCGAGGAGAGACCAGGCCGTGTAGCCCTTCACATTCACCCCGTCCTTAATCGCTGGTGAACCAGGGACAAAAATAAAAAGGTAACACGTTTGGTTTTTGTCTCAGGGACCGTGGCAGCTTTTTTTAGTCGTATAAAATATGAAAAACAATCTCAAAGACTCAAATATGAACCAGGCAGTAAAATCTTTCTTTCTGGGATGTTATTTCTGTGTCCAGCAGAGTTTTTATACCTTTGAGCATTTCATTGATGTAGTCTTTGAAGTACTGCATCCTCCAGTCGTCACAGAGGTCGGTGCAGACCATTTTCTCTGACACACCGTTTTCTGTCACGTAAATCATGGGGTTTCCGTACTGAGTCTGTTGGAGTGACATCAAATCACATTCAGGATGGAGTGCATACTGATATATCCCTCTCATTATGTACTTACATGTACTCGTACAAAATATTTCAAGTTTCATAACCCTTATCTTTCTAACCGCGTCACACAAGTTATCACACGTGACATTTCTCTTCAGTGAGTTAGTTTTGACATTATGACTTCGCTTTCTTGCAGAGAGTTAAATGAGATGATGTTTTGGATGCGTCCGAAATCACCCTCTACTCACTGTATAGTGGACTATACAGTCCACTCAGTGTATCCCAGAATGCATTTTGAAAAGTAGTGTACAAACGATGATGACTAACCAAGCCCTATAAACCAACAAGCTTTGCGCTGATAGAAAAAACAATCCACCAACGGATTGTGTTTTAACGGTGCCGAAATAATGATCAGAGTAGTGTCCGAAGGTGTTGTTTTAATTATGCGGGTGATCTCACTATACAGTCCTCTACATACAACTCACTACCGAGCAGGGAGTAGTGAATGAGCTGGTGATTTCGGACACAGTCTTTATGCTAAGCTAAGCTAATCACCTCCTAGCTGTAGCCCCATACTTGCTGAATTATTTGTATTAGTTCACTTTGGATGGCTGTGAGAGCTCAGCTTCCATCAATTATATGCCATTTTTATAATAATTTGAGCGTGTTTGTATTAGTTTCACTTGCAGTACAAAAAACGATTCTATATCAGAAACATCTCATACAGCTGGATTTTATTCAGACTTGTGTCGTTTACCTTAACAAAGTTCAACAAGCGTCGGAAGCCCCAGGGAACAGAGTAGAGCCATTCAGAGCCGGGATCCGGCCATTGTGGGTCAACCAGCTCAGCAAGGTCGCGATCTGCAAAGTAGCTGTCTCCCAGGCCTGATGGGTAATTCTTCAGGGTGACGTAGCGAGTAGTGAAATGGCCGAGGCCCAGGAAGTCACAGGTTCCCTTGATGTAGCTCTTCTCCTGAGGCGAGAAGACCGGCAGCCGTGAAGCTCCCAGGCCCTGCTGGCCGCTCTTCCTGCCTGAAGGTGAAGGTTTAGTTTTAGTTTTATAACGAAACTAAAATGTCTGCAGACACATGAAGGTTGCATAAAGATATCCAAAGAAGGTTAAAATCAAGGGCAACTGGACACGGTCTTTACATTGGCTTCCTGTCTGTCAAAGAATTGATTTCAAAATCCTGCTGTTAGTTTATAAAGCACTAAATGGTTTAGGGCCAAAATACATTTCTGATCTTCTGCTTCGTTATGAACCATCCAGACCTCTCAGGTCGTCTGGGATCTGGTCTGGTTTCTGTCCCCAGAGTCAAAACTAAACAAGGAGAAGCAGCGTTCAGTTATTATGCTCCGTATATCTGGAACAAACTCCCAGATAACTGCAGGTCTGCTGAAACTGTCAGACTGAAGACTTTTCTTTTTAACATTGCTTTTAATTAAATATTTAAGACTTCTCTTTTTTTACCACCGTCTTTAACTAGTAGATTGATAACTTACACTGCACTGTAACTTTTACTGTCCTGTTTTCTTTTTCTTTGTTTTTAGATATTAACACTATTTAAAAAGTTTAGAGTGCTCTTTTGATTCCACCTTCTCCCACGGCTGATCCTCAGTTAACAGAGCCAAGTAGAATTACAAGGGTTAGAGTCCCTAGTTTTCTCTGCTGTTAACTTGTTGACAGGGCCCGCTGTCAACCGCTTTTACCAGAGTTTGTAGCACAAACAATCTGGATTTACAGCAACGACTGTATCTAAAGAAGGGTTAGAGTCCCCAAGTGTTAAAGGGTTAGAGTCCCCTTAGGGTTGGAGTCCCCTTAGGATTAGAGTGCCTCAGTAACTAAAGCGGGGATAGAGTGGGAGATGGGGAATCAAAGGAGTAAAATAAGCAAAGGTGGGAGACCTGCCTGTTTTTATTTTCTATTTAATTTTTTAAACTTTTTTATATTTCCCTGTTGCTGTTAAGCACTTTGAATTACCTTGTTGTTGAAATGTGCTATACAAATAAACTTGCCTTGCCTTGGTTGAAGATACTTGGAGACGTTTCGCCCCTCATCCACGAGACTTCTTCAGTTCTGAAATGACTAGTAGGGAAACCCAGCTATTTAACCTCTGAGGGGTTGTTGCCCAAGATGATCGATGCCGCTGGTTCGTTAGTGCTCCTGGCTGATGTGACGACGGTCGGTATGGTCGTCCAAGTCTGAACGACCATGGTGGTATCTTCAACCAAGTCCAGTTGCCCTTGACTTTAACCTTCTTTGGATAACTATGACCTGGATGACTGAGAACCTTCACAGACATCGTGCATAAAGATGGCACCTGTGACAGTTGATTTTTCATACCCATAATGCAGTTACGCTTGTTATGATCAGGTCAAGCAAAGAGGGGTTTTTTTCCCCTTTATTTTGTTTAAGGAACAAAAAGCAAAGATTAGAGTAACATCTGAAGAAATAAATATAGTTTTGTGTAGTAAATGATAAAATCAATCGTGTTTATTGACCATTAAGATTTATCTTGATCAACCTGTAGGTAAGAAAACCACTAATGTTATGTTATGAATATATGGTGTTAGCAGTTAGCCTCATGGGACATTGCAGTATTCATGCTTTATATATCATGCTGATGTCATGTTACTTTCATGAATGTAATGCACCACCATTTTGTTTGATTCTCTATAGTTTTACTCCAACAGCAGGTGGAGCAAATGGGAGTCAAACTCACATTAGACGCTGAAAAAGTTCAGTGAAAAGTCATACGGAAGCCCAAAGAGGGTACTGGACATGTTGATCACGTGTACTCGCTTTGTTAACAACGTCCTCATCTTCATAAAGTTTCTGATCTCACACTTTTAAGAGTATAAGACTTTTTGTTGTGCAAGAATTTTGTTGTAATTGTTACAAATTTATCTATTATCTATTTATTTATTAAATATTAGGAAGAGAGATCACAAAATAAGTGTCTGACTGCAAATAAACAACACAAACTGTTTTCTTGAGACGGGGCGAATGGGTAGATCCTCAATTCTTCAACTTCCAATTCATTTGTTTTTCTTATCCGACTGTGACTAAAACCTTAATTCTACCTTCACCCAGACTGATTCAGGTTTGTGAACCTTCTCGTTCACTAAAATATAAGACGACTAGTCCTACTGTCCTACGCTTTGGACAGAAGTGGCTGCCAAATGAATAAATGTAAAATGACAGAAAAAACAACCCCTGGATTTCGACACAGCAAAGGTGTTTGGGGAAGGATTTTCCGACGCAGCTTGAAAATCACATTTTACATTTTTTTTTAAGTGACAGATTTTTCGGGTGAGGACAGTGCTTACATTGTTGTAAGTTATAATATAAACGGTTGCATTTGTCCGTGACGTACCGATATAATCTTTCATAACCTGGGGGTAGTCTCCGTTGAAGATGGGAGTGGCAAACCATCCCATGTAGAACTGGATGTATCTCTCTGCTGCCTCAATGTCCCTCTGGTTGGTGATGTCCACTGGTTCGCCCCAGTCAGCCGTTAGCGAGATCCCAACCAGGCCTGGAAACACACGGCATCTTTATTGTCCAGCATTACAGACGGTGTGTGTTACTTCAATCACATGAATAAAAACTACATTTTCTTTTCACCTTTTTGTTTGCTTCGCCACTGCATGTCATAGGTGTGCCAAACTTTAGCATGGGCCTGTTTCAAAGACAGAAAGGAAGTGTCACCTTGATGTTTGTTTATTACTTTAGTTTAGTTGACATTTTCAGAAGAAGGATATGAAATCACACATTGCTATAAAACTGTTAAAGCTGACTAACAAATAAATTATTGTGTCATTTTCGTGCACCGGCAGCCTTGGCACTTGTGTCAGGTGGAACGTACAACACAGTGTTAAGGCACTTATTCTCAAAGGCTTCTCCTTAATCTACCATGTTTGGACTGCACCTCGTTTATATGTCACTTTGGGACAAATGTAAATATAGTACATAGTAGAATTACAAAGAGACGTGGTTGGCTGTCGCCTCCAACTTTATGCTAATCAGGTCATCATATTTAAGTTATACATGATATACATTAAGGTCATTATTTATATGTACTCTATAAATGATAAACATTATTTAAGAAATAGAAATGGGATAGGACCATATATATAATAAAATTTTAATTATTGAAAATTTTTACTGTTAATTTTATTGGTTATTCTTGTTTTTCTTTTGTACTTATCGGTTACAATTTCAAAATAAAATCAAATATAATCAGAATATTTGCCAGATAAATAAATATTATTCATTAATGTAATATTAATATTTAAAAAACTAAATTCAGTCCATATAGTACAAAACCCAGAAATATTCAATTTATACAGATGTAAAACAGAAAATCCTCAAATTTAAAAAGATGGAAGCATCAAATGTTGGCCTTTTTGTGCGATGAATGACCGGTCAAATTGATAATTAGCAAATCATACATTAAAAAAACATCAAACATCCGCCGAGGAAGATCGTGTCATACAATAGAAAGCTTCAGAAGAGCTACTAAATGTTTTGCGATTGATTTGGGGCCAGTGTGGCTCGGGTTGTAATAGAGCATGACTGATACGGGTGATACAGATTTTGTTATTCGAGGATGTTAAAATCCGATATGTCTGCCGATTATTCTTTTTTTTCCCTTCTTTTCAAAAACACATAAAATAAACAAATATTATCCTTAACATTTGTTAGGTGTAGACGTTGGCAAAATAACGTGGCATAATGCAGTTTAATAAACTTTTATTGTTAGAAATAGCACTTTGCTGATCATGTCAGCTGATTGTTGTGTTTTGGTGGATTTGTGGCAGGTGTTGCCAACAGGTAAGTTGCAGAGCACCCTCTGGTGGACAAACTATGCAACGACAACACTCATAACATGACTGAAGGATCCTCTTTCTATCTCTCTCTCTCCTTTTCTATTTTAATTGTCATTTATTGGCTGTTATAAACACAGGTACTAATTTATCTGCAATTAGCTCATTTCGGCCTCTAGTTTATCGGCTTCTAGTTTATCGGCCTCTAGTTAATTAGCCTCTAGTTAATTGGCCTCTAGTTAATTGGCCTCTAGTTTATCGGCCTCTAGTTAATTAGCCTCTAGTTAATTGGCCTCTAATTAATAGGCCTGTAGTTTATCGGCGTCTTATTAATTAGCCTCTAGTTAATCGGCCTCTAGTTAATTAGCCTCTAGTTAATTGGCATCTAATTAATAGGCCTATAGTTTATCGGCGTCTTGTTAATTAGCCTGTAGTTAATTGGCCTCTAATTAATAGGCCTGTAGTTTATCGGCGTCTTGTTAATTAGCCTCTAGTTAATCGGCCTCTAGTTAATCGGCCTCTAGATTATCGGCCTCTAGTTTATCGGCCTCTAGTTTATCGGGCTCTAGTTAATCGGCCTCTAGTTTATCGGGCTCTAGTTAATCGGCCTCTAGTTTATCGGCCTCTAGTTAGTTAATCGGCCTCTAGTTAATCGGCCTCTAGTTAATCGGCCTCTAGTTTATCGGCCTCTAGTTAGTTAATCGGCCTCTAGTTAATCGGCCTCTAGTTTATCGGCCTCTAGTTAGTTAATCGGCCTCTAGTTTATCGGCCTCTAGTTAGTTAATCGGCCTCTAGTTAATCGGCCTCTAGTTAATCGGCCTCTAGTTAATCGGCCTCTAGTTTATCGGCCTCTAGTTAGTTTATCGGCCTCTAGTTAATCGGCCTCTAGTTAGTTAATCGGCCTCTAGTTTATCGGCCTCTAGTTAATCGGCCTCTAGTTAGTTAATCGGCCTCTAGTTAATCGGCCTCTAGTTAGTTAATCGGCCTCTAGTTTATCGGCCTCTAGTTAGTTAATCGGCCTCTAGTTAATCGGCCTCTAGTTAGTTAATCGGCCTCCAGTTAATCGGCCTCTAGTTAGTTAATCGGCCTCTAGTTAATCGGCCTCTAGTTAGTTAATCGGCCTCTAGTTAATCGGCCTCTAGTTAGTTAATCGGCCTCTAGTTAATCGGCCTCTAGTTTATCGGCCTCTAGTTAGTTAATCGGCCTCTAGTTAATCGGCCTCTAGTTTATCGGCCTCTAGTTAGTTAATCGGCCTCTAGTTAGTTAATCGGCCTCTAGTTAATCGGCCTCTAGTTAGTTAATCGGCCTCTAGTTAATCGGCCTCTAGTTAGTTAATCGGCCTCTAGTTTATCGGCCTCTAGTTAGTTAATCGGCCTCTAGTTAATCGGTCTCTAGTTAGTTAATCGGCCTCTAGTTTATCGGCCTCTAGTTTATCGGCCTCTAGTTAGTTAATCGGCCTCTAGTTTATCGGCCTCTAGTTAATCGGCCTCTAGTTAGTTTATCGGTCTCTAGTTTATCGGCCTCTAGTTAATCGGCCTCTAGTTAGTTAATCGGCCTCTAGTTAGTTAATCGGCCTCTAGTTTATCGGCCTCTAGTTAGTTAATCGGCCTCTAGTTAATCGGCCTCTAGTTAGTTAATCGGCCTCTAGTTTATCGGCCTCTAGTTAGTTAATCGGCCTCTAGTTTATCGGCCTCTAGTTAGTTAATCGGCCTCCAGTTAATCGGCCTCTAGTTAGTTAATCGGCCTCCAGTTAATCGGCCTCTAGTTAGTTAATCGGCCTCTAGTTAGTTAATCGGCCTCTAGTTAGTTAATCGGCCTCCAGTTAATCGGCCTCTAGTTTATCGGCCTCTAGTTAGTTAATCGGCCTCTAGTTAATCGGCCTCTAGTTAGTTAATCGGCCTCCAGTTAGTTAATCGGCCTCTAGTTAGTTAATCGGCCTCTAGTTAGTTAATCGGCCTCTAGTTAGTTAATCGGCCTCTAGTTAGTTAATCGGCCTCCAGTTAATCGGCCTCTAGTTTATCGGCCTCTAGTTAGTTAATCGGCCTCTAGTTAATCGGCCTCTAGTTAGTTAATCGGCCTCTAGTTTATCGGCCTCTAGTTAATCGGCCTCTAGTTAGTTAATCGGCCTCTAGTTAGTTAATCGGCCTCTAGTTTATCGGCCTCTAGTTAGTTAATCGGCCTCTAGTTTATCGGCCTCTAGTTAGTTAATCGGCCTCTAGTTAGTTAATCGGCCTCCAGTTAATCGGCCTCTAGTTAGTTAATCGGCCTCTAGTTAGTTAATCGGCCTCTAGCTCGTAATCCGCTCGCACACTGCAGGTCTCCAATGTTCACATGTCAGCTTTTGGTTTGGATGTGCGTGCATCGGTTTGTAATCCGGCCTCGGCTCAGACAGATCAACACCAAACTGGACCGCCATCTCTTACCTTGATGATGTGGTGGGCAGCTTTGTAAGCTCCCGTTCCCTTCAGCTTCACTCCGGGTGCATGTTCCCCTGTTTCATATCCCTCCACAGCTATGGACTGAAAACACAAGACAACACTCTCTGATATCCAAGTCAAACATTACATCTGTTCACAACACAGTGAATGCACCGTTTCTCCTGACATACCCAAGGATTGTTGAAAGTGATCCAGTACTTCACTCTGTTTCCAAATCTTTCAAAGCACAAGTTGGCAAAGTCGTTGAAGTAGTTCACCATGCTGACGTTCTGCCAGCCACCGTACTTCTCCTGTAAGACCTGAGGAGTAAAACCGTATTAGTAGCCATACCTTTTCAATTTCAAAACAAAAGGGTTAGTGCTCACCTGAGGTAAATCCCAGTGGTACAAAGTAACAATGGGTGTGATCTTATTGTCCAGCAGCATGTTAATCAGGTCATCATAGTATTTGATTCCTTTCTCGTTGATGTGTTCACCTGAGGGAGAATTAATATCAATATTCACTAGCATGAAACATAACTTCTTTACAATTAGGGCTTCGTCTAATGATTATTTGTTTTTAACTGGGGTAGCTGCGGCTCAAGAGGTAAAGCGGGTTCCACTAATCGGATGATCGGCGTTTCAATCCTCCGGCTCCTCCGGTCTGCACGTCAAAGTGTCCTTGGGCAAAATACTGAACCCCAAATTGCTACGGATGCTGTTTAATTGGTGTGTGAGATGTAATTTCTGCATCAGCCTACGAATGTGTGTCAATGGGTGAATGTGACGTAGTTTAAAAAGCGCTTTGAGTGGTCGTAAGACTGGAAAGGCGCTCTACAAGTACAGACCATTTACCATTACATTTGAATTGTGGATTAATCTGTTTTTATAGGTCTATTTAAAATGTCAAAAATCATCTTCATATTGCTTGTTTTGTTGGACCAACAGACCAAAACCCAAAAAGATTTAACAAACAATAATATAGAACAGAGAAAAGCAGCAAATCCTTACATTTCAAAAGCTGGAAGCAGCAAATGAAAATTAATGTCAGCTTATTTTCTGGTGACTTCACTTAGTAATCAATTTCCGCAAATAAAAATAGTAAATAATAGAATAAAATATAGAAAAGAATGAATAAAAATATAGAAATACTTTTCAGTCCACTTGGTAAAATCCTTGGCCAGGAGATGGAGAAACGATAATGGTTCAGCTTCATGTCTTTCATCAAGCTAATATCATCCTTAAAAACAAATCAGAAAATATTTTCACAGCAGGTAAAGACGAAATGGAAAAGATCAATGCTGGTTCTGGTTTTTAAAGATGTTAGTTTGCTTTCCTGCCGCTATGTAGGCTGTAATTCTCACTAACAGATGCTCCTGTAATTAAAGCTCATCTTTTTCCCGGAGATCTACTGATTATAAACACCAGTTCATGTGTTCACGTTATTACTGTTAACCTCACAGAACCTTCGAGCAGAGAGATCAGTCAGTACAATCTCATGCTCTGCAGCTGAAAGAACTTTACCTTAAGGTGTACTTTGACATTTTGACAAATATATGCTTGTTAGAGTTAAATTAGACCTTTAATTCTACTCTGGAACCAGGAGGTGATTAGCTTAGCTTAGCATAAAGACTGGAAACAGGGGGAAACAGCTAGCCTGACTCTCTGCAAAGCTGAAAAAAAGCTGCCTGCCTGCTCGTTTGTTTAGGCTTGCTTAAGAGCTTCTGGAAGTCAAATTTTTCTTACTTTTAGACAGACCAGGCTAGCTGTTTATTCCTCTTTCCAGTCTTTATGGCTGTAGCTTCATATGCATCGTACAAAGACTGGTATCAAAGTTCTCAAGTAACTCTCAGTAAGAAAGAGAATAAGTATACTTCCCAAAATGTTGAACCTTCTAAATTCGAGTGGAGATCCAGATACCAAAGATACCAAAATGTCTGTAAAATGATGCGAAAGACATCTAGAATATTTCCATTTGAGGGAATGGTGTAGCCATAAAAACATGGATTTGAATCTTTGGATCTTGGATTCGAATATCTCACTCAGTGTAAACATCATATAGCTTCAATCAAGCGCTGTAATGGGGCCATACAGAATACGGTCAGTGTGGAGAAAGATGATTGTTCTAACCCTAAATTTACTACATTTAAACTAAGTTAATGTTTAATTGAACTCAGTAAAACATTTCTTAATTTCAGATGCAACATTTTCTTCTGCATGTCACCTTGAATTTGTAGTAGCCCTCACACGAGGAGTCTCCCGTGTCATTTGAGAATATTTTCCCCTTTTTGTGGGCAAATGCATCCCAGATGCTCATTCCTTTTCCGTCTATGTTCCAAGCTCCTTCAGTCTGATAGGCAGAAGTTCCAGCTCCCCAGGAGAAACCTGCAGAGGAAACCAAAGCAAACAGTACATGTCAACACCTTGTCAGTGACTTTGGTAGTTTGTGAAACTATTTTGTGTTTAATCATATGTCATACCAGTTGGGAAGGTGCCGTAATAGAAAGACGTTCTCTCGTTCTTCGTCCAGTCAAAGTCCTCACTGGCTGACACACACAGCACCAGTGCAAGCACATGGTACGGCCTCAGGGTGCACCACTGCAGCATCGTGATCTTCGGCAAGCAGCTCACTGTCTTCGGTTACTAAAGGAAAGTAAAAACCCAGTTTGAATCTCACAGCTATCATGACGTACGTGCTAATGTTAATGTGTAGGCATCCGAAACCTGTCAAAACAGCTGCAAGGCTGCATCTCCTGTTAGTCTACTCTGAGCCAGACAAGTGGAGGACAGATACACAGATATGTTGAAGTAAAACCAAGATTCAGAAACTCACGCACTCACGTGTCAGGTGTCCACAGGTTTTGAGTAAAACCATTCTAACTCAAACCCCAAACCTCAGGATCGTTTGTTAAATTTCCAGTGAAAAAAAGAGCCGGTCATTATCGGACCTCGTGGATATAAAGAAAGAATCTAGTTTCATTTCAGCCAGCTGTAAGACACGCTGACACAAAATGCTATCAGAGACAGAAAGTAAGCCAGCTTGTCAAGCACAGTCAGGATGAGCGACATTTCAAGGGGTTGTTTATCTTCAGTGGTGCAAAAGATGACCAAGATTAAAAAAAATAAGTGAGTGAAAATGATAAAGTTGCCTGAGAGTCCTCCTGCCAAAGCCTGTGCTGTTTCCCTCCCTACATCTGTCCCTTTGCTCAGTGTCTGTCTCAGAACCACATATAGATGTCTGACCTGCTGCACGTCCTGCATTTGTCTCCGCTGGAAACTGCTCCAAAATACGAGAAACGTCCCCAAGCTTCTGGACCTAGTCGACGTTCCCCAGTGTCACTGAAAGGTTCACTGCCAATGTCACAAAAACAAAACAGAGTGAAGCATCCAGGACATTTTCTGCTATTCATCAGCCCACATACAGCAACAAGCACCCCCCCCACACACACACAGTGAATACCGCTCCATTTGAAGTCAGTGAAGTGTGAGCGTGAATTTGCTGGGGCAAACAGATCTTTTGGAAAAAGGAGGGATTTTGACACTGTAAGCAAAGTTATCGTTAGAAAGCCCGATGCATGTGCAGCTCGGTCTCAGAGCATTTCATGGCTTTAAAACATAACACAAAATATCGTCACTGAAGGCGCACGCGTGGGTCTAGTTAACCGTAAAAAGCAAGTCGAAATCAAAAGATGAAGCATACTAGAAACAGGTGCATCAGTATTTACAGTTTATTCTCAATCTTATCATCCTGTATTTGTATCAAGCAAAGCGGCGGCCTTCACATACGCAATAACAGAAACATCTATACGGTGTCACGTAATCCAGTAGTCCTGCAAATATGTACTACATCATGTGAAGTTCCACATGTAGATTTTGTCTTTTGAGTTCAGTATGTGGTTCAGTTTGCATAATATTTGTCCCCAAGAGTGGACGAAGGTGCAAGAATAAAATGTCAAAATATGTATTTCAAAATCAGCTGGTGGTTTGAAGTCACTGCCTGCACCTACATACTGTATGTGCATATAATTAGGCATTCATCTACCATGAAGACAAGTTCAGAAACAACACCGCGCACTGAATTCAGTTTCAGTGTCTTAACAGAAGCCCTATAATATAATACATTACTATATAATGAGTGCATTTGCATTAAAATAGCATTACTGGATTTACATACCGTGAACAAGCTCTCTAAAGAAGATGTACACAGTATACAAGGTATTCAGTCATGCTACACCCAGTTACATACAGTCTTAAATACAGGGATAAATAGATTTGAATATATAGAACAGAGAGTGGGTTAGTGGCTAGCTGTCCTCCACTCGCATTTTATGGCTTTGTATGTCTCGTATTATGAGCCTCTGTGTTTTAACAAGTACCTGATATTGTACTATAATGGTGTCCTGTGTGAAGTTAATGTTCTCAATAACTGAGTGACTCTGTAGCATCTGTCCACGACTGCAAATATAACGTAACTCTAACTCATTAACAGCAATGTTTGTTGATGTGCACTGAGGATAAAAGCTGTCATATATCGTTCACCTCTTGGTAGCAGGGTTGTCTCTGATAACGGCTCGCGCTCTTTTCCTGCACCTGACCTGATATACTGTGAATCTCATCCAGGTGTGGCTGACTGGAGGCCAACTAAACATTTTTACTTTTGGTACCAAACTGCATTATTAAACTTCCTGTGAGAACACAACTCGCATAATATAAAATAATGGCAATGGAGCAAGACGCTTAACCCCTCGTTGCTCCAGAGGCGTGCGACCTCTGACATGTATAGCAATTGTAAGTCGCTTTGGATAAAAGCGTCAGCTAAATGAGTAAATGTAAATTAACTGATTATAATAGAAGCTACATATCATATATGAAGGAGTAGGAAACAACACAAGAGATTTAAAAACTTCACTTCACAGGCCCCGCAGATATGACAACAGCTTCATCCTTTTTTATTAAAAACATTTTCTAATATGAAGAAATTGTACAGAATTATTTTATTACACCTTACATACGTTTATTTACTTTATATTGTAATTCTATTACTGATACTGATATCTACTCTGTACACCCTGGAGGAGGAATTCATCCTTTATAGCTCTTTCATTTCCAACTCCAAACTGAAGTCTAAGTGCGTCGCATATTGTTCAGATTGTAAAGCCCGAGAGACGACTTAGTGATTTCAGGCTGTATAAATAAAATGGCCTTGATTTGACTATCAAAGAACATTTAATGAAACAATATGTCGGATATGTAAATGATGTTTACATCACATCACTAAGATTTAAATTGAAACAAGACCCCTGAACCATCAGGTGCTGGTCACCAGTTACACAAATCTGCAGCAGTGGAAATGTCAGAAGACTCATTGACAGCCCCCCCCCCTGCAGAGTCAGTGCAGCCCTCCTCGGGTCGTGACCTCTTCAGTGAATACAGTGAGCTGGAGCTGGCCGCGCACAAAGCATGAATACAACCATTATCACAGGGTGCATTGTTTACAGAGCAAAAAAAAGAAAAAATGCTGAATTGTTCAAAGCCAAAACTGTTGGCACTGCACTCTCACATTTACATGTCAGTGTGCAGTTTGTGTACAGAAGCTCTGTTCTCTCTGCTTGTTGTGTTTGTATATCTGCAGGCACACATCAATTTCAAATGCTCTGCGTGTATGTTTTTTTTGTGCTCCGCATGCGGTTGCAGTGTTCGCGGCTGATGATGTGTATGTGTGAACAGAGAAGACAACATGACCATGGTTGTGTGTTTAGCATATCAATGGCGCCCAGGGCCCCGACGACCGTTGCAGAACCACTCTGAGCTTTCTAGTACCGCTCGGCTCACCTCAACTTGCTGTATTTAAGGGGCTTTCTTGTTGCCTCACAGAGCTGACATGAACATCTTTACTAAGGTCCCAGGATTAGCCCAACAAACCAGGTATGTTGAGAGCACCGTGCACCAGCTGGGGCCCACAGAGTGTCGAGGTGGGTGGGCCAGTGGTGCCTCCACATCCCACCTCCTGCTGGTTCTCATGCTCTGTGATTCCGCCACCACCAGTTTCCCAAAATCACATGAAGAGTGATGGCTCGTTGTAGGAGACACACACACATACTGTACATTTTAGGTGCAAGTCGATGGTTTTAATCGGAAAGACTGAAGCACAGCAATACTTTTAAATCAGCGTGAGTCGTAATCTGTAACAGTTGGGAATAGAAATGAAAACAGGCTCTAAAAAAAATGTTTGTTGACCAAAATGACACAAGAGATGACATTTTCAGTGGTTTCATTTCCACACACCATCATTAGTTTCTTTGAGACTCTGATTTTAATTTTTGAGCGGTTTGTTTGGGGTATAATTATTCATTAAAATGCTTCTAATATCAACAGCAAGCTGGGGTCTGTGCTCCAACGTGCCTTCTACGGGTCCAGTGGGAGGGTGAGTCAAGTGGCGTTTCCATATTGATGTGGTCCCTTTTTTATATGTTTTAAACCTACGGTATTGAACTGTGAGTGTGTATCAACATACTTCATCATTTTTCCTGCGGTATCTCTGCCCTCAGGTGACCCTTTTCGAGCAGCGGAACTTCGCCGGCAGGCGGCTGGACCTGAGTTCTGACTGTGTCAGGCTCAGTGACAAGAACTTCCCAGAAAGATGTAACTCTGTGCAGGTGGAGGGCGGAGCGTAAGTCTTACACCACCGCCTAGAGTCGACAACAGGTCACTGCAGCACACACAGGCGTACAATAGAGACAAGGAAAAGAGGAGATGAAGTTAACAGCAAAGTATCTGAAGCCTTCTCGTCACCTTTCTGTGGACTTCAGTAATATTTTTTCATCATTTTATCAAACTTCAGGGAACTCCAAGAGTTTAAAAGTAAATGTAGTTAATTATACCAGATACCTAAAACCCAGTGGTCCAGACGGTAATCAACAAATATGTATTTGTATTTGAATTCCAGCTGTGTTTGAGCAAAATTAAATATATCATGTAATTTCAATTAATAGCGCAGGCTTTTAATTGCTTCAATCGCTGAACTTACTATCCCTATATTTGGAATATGACATGTGACAGTTAATTCATGTCACACAAAACTCTTGCTCAGCAAAGACGGGAAATAGGCTACTATCAAATTGTTTATTTTGACCAGCGTGAATATTACTTTTAGAAAAATTACCATACCAGAAAATCTGAATTGTAAAATTAATTGAACGATTAAATTGTGGAGAATCTAACGGATGTACGGCGTGTTGAATGTCTAAGCAGCTTGGAGCAGCAAGCGACCTGGTTGGCGTTCAGAGGTTTTATAAATCCAAAGAACTTATAATATATTATAATGTACTACAAAAAACAGACCAGGCTTCTAATTGAGACCTGCGGTTATTTGTCAAAACGTGTTGGCACACCAGTAAAAGGGGACAGGAGTCTAATTGGGACTAAGCTTTAAATTGAAGTTTGGTGGACAGATGAGCCTTGGACCAAGAAAACAGAGAGATCTTAAACTGTGGTTTTAACAATAAGACAATTAGTCTTAGGAAATGAATTCAAATCTAGTCTGTATTCAGTTAAAAAGCAGGTGAAATTAAAATTTAGTTTTTATCTTCGCCTGAAAGAGAAAAAAAAGATATATAAAATAATACACACACACACACACAACTGCGTGTTTTTTAAAATGTCTGGGATACATGTAACCACATATGTAAACATGTAGTTAGGACCTAGTTCGCAGCAAAATCTAGTCACTGAAATGCTGTTGAAACGACGAGTCATATGTAGCCCTGATATACATTTTGATTAACACATTTGTACGACAACTCATCATATCATGGACAGTTATAATGGTCTAATTGTTGAAATTCAAATTTCGAATCATCACAATTTGTTCTGTCTACTGAATGTCATGGGATCTGCTCAGAGACAGATCTACCTTAAGGCCTGCAGGTTGTGTAAACTTTTGACAGCAACACTGTTCAGCGTTTTTCTGCTAGTATGTTTTTTTTTTTTGTCATGCTGCTGCTGTGTGCATCCGTCTTTGACTTTTCTTTCTCTTCTTCTTCTTCGCTCTTGCACAGATGGATCGGTTACGAGCACGAGAACTTCCGGGGCCGTCAGTACCTGTGGGACATGTCCGAACGGGGAGAGTACAGCTGCTACGACAAGTGGTGCGCTCAGCTGGACCACGTGTCCTCTGTCCGCGCTGTCAAACAGGTGACACATGAAGCTGGCAAAAACACACAACAACATACAGCCATTACAGGTGCAGACAAACAGATCTGTATAAACCGTGTGAATACTGTGGGTCTTGGTTTTAGCCTCTAAAGTCACACCTGCTTCATCAGTAACAGCTATTATCTGACTTAAACAAATCTCAAAGCATATATTTAAATCTACAAACCAGGTAGAAACAGTTGTTGTAGGTTTGTTAGTAAAGTCTGCCCACAACACTGGAGTTAAGCACACACGCGGCGTGTCAATAAAATGCATGTTGGGTACCTAAAGTGTTAAAAAAAGGGAGTCAGAAATAAAAATAATTTAACTGCTAAATACTTAATCAGTAGTTACATTGTGAAGTCGTTATAAAATGAAGAAAAAAAAATTTATTTTACATTTCTGTAGTTTTTGGGGAGAAAAACATTAGGCTATGTCTGGGAAGAAGAGAGTGCCTTTATAGCTATATAAATGTTTACATTTTTTTTAAATAACTATAGCAAAAGTTTAGTTTTAGCATCCAGTGAGGATCCATCTGATGTGTGAAAGTGTCACATGTAGTGGGGGCTTTTAGTTCTAGCTTCCCCCAACTGTCCCTGTACTTTTTTCCTTCTACCTATAGCTACCCAGTACTTCATTGGAACCCCGCATGTACAAAATGTGTACGCTGTAATTTGCGAGCTGTATTGGAAAGTGTCACAGCGTTAAATCAGATTAGCAAGAATCCGACAGAATTTACACAGAGCTGTGCACTTTGGGCAAATAATAAACTAGACATATAGCTGTATTTCCCCAAAACACCTACTACATGCATTTGAGATGAAACTTATTTTATATGGTAAACAATATAAGGTAAAACTGCACAATGATCTTAGACTCCAGAGGAATAATTAAGGAGTTTGGTGTGAACGTATTCTGTTCTGCAAAGAATCAGAATACCTCTGCAGTACCTGATGGCCAATTATTGTTCAGAAACATTCAAGCATTCCCCCACTAGCCGTTTTTCTGTATATTCCTGGTGTTTTCAGGACAACAACCCTGCCAGAGCTCAGCTGTTTGAGCGAGGCAGTTTCTCTGGTAAGAAGATGGAGATCCAGGATGACATCCCCAACCTGATGAGCCGGTACAACCTCAACAGAGTCGCCTCCATCCGCGTGCTCGGAGGAGCGTAAGTGCAACATCTGTCGACACATTATCAATCAGGTGTATGTACATCGTGGCGTCCTCAAGTGCAGCGTGCAATATGTTCGTGGTTGTTATGCAGGCGAGAACAATTTGTACATCTTTTGGGTAAGTCTGAGTAAAGTCTCAAACAATCTCACCACAAGGTCCGTTTATTGGCTGTCCTGGAGTTTTCAATCACATGATCCTCCTCTTCCTCAGAATTTAGTTTGCTCACATCTCATTGAATTGTAATGTTTAAATTTCACTGTTAAGACGTTTTGTCTGTATTGACTTCAAAGCTAAAAGGTTATTCTTGGTTGGCAGAATACAGTATAACACAATCTGCTGATAGAGACTGAGATATGACCAAAGGCTCCAGCACAGCTACTAAATGAACCTTGTGGTGAGATCGATTTCTCACAAGCAGTTTCCAAAGTCAAAAATTAACTTCAACTTTTCAAATTGATCAGGTTTCAATCTTAGAGCTGACCATTAAAATCATAGCATTTGACTTTTTCCTGAATTTTTAGTCCCAGTAACTAGATATCCACGTCAGTTTTATTTCATTGCTCCAGGATTTTACCAGGTCATAAGTTAATTAGTAAGTTAGGCAAATAATTAGTCTGTGAGTGAATATATATTTATAGGAGATTGACTTGATTTAATAAAAGTGCTTATTGCCACAGCCAAGTTATGTTTTAAATGTCTGAGCCACTTACACTGACCATATATGGTAGAACACAGCTAGAACATTTGACAACATTAAGCGTTGCATTTTCCTTAAGTCGACCGGCTGTCAGTTTGTGTGACTAAATTCTGACTTGAGCCTCCATGATTCAGTCAAAGCTATTAAAAAAAAAAAAAAACACACCTCAGACACTGCTGTGATCAAATAGCAGCCTTTGGAAATAGTAGTCACTGATCTAACCCCCCCCCCCCCCCCATGTGTGTTGTGTGCAGATGGGTGGTCTATCAGGAGCCAAACTACAGAGGGCCTCATTATGTCCTGGAGAAGCGTGATTACAACAACTTCTCTGACTGGGGCAGTCAGAGCAACACCGTGGGCTCCATGCGCAGAGTCCGCTTCAACTAAACGCCATCGCCGAAGTCCTGCCAACACGAAGCCTGTCAGCCGAACACTTTGTAATAAACTGTAAAAAGACAAACATTTGTATTTTTCCCCCCCTTCTTGAGTCGTCTCATCAGTAAAAATGTTCTGAACCCGAGTGCACCAGCTCATTAATAGAAAGTGTTTTAAAAGTTCAAAACTTGTGGATTTAAGGATAACTGGCCCAATCAAATCCAGGTCCCAAAATAATGCCGCAGACCATTAACATTCTTGTTGGTAACAGATGGAGTTAAGAATTTGCAAGGTAAACATTTTATTTCACTTTTTGAACAAAGTCCAAGGCCATAAAATGAAATGTGGACACATTAAAATGCATAGAGTGTGAGACCCGTACAGAGATAATGTTGCCAAAAAATAAAAGCCCACAACTTTACAACACAACTAAGGCGCTTGCTTAGTATGAGGTAGACCAACGCTCAAGTCAGCCCGTTTTGTTATGCAGACACATCAGAAATGTCTTTCAAGTTATTGCAAACAGCCTCTGATTGGAAGCTGTGCAATGTCTCATCTCAGGCTTGATGGGCAGTTCAAGGTGCACTGGAGGAAAATCTGTACTACGGGGGGGGGGGGGACTGAATCACAAAGCTTAGAGAAATTTAAAAAAAAAAAGTTTATTAAAAACACTAGTTAAATTTGTCGCAGTGATAAAAATATAAAGTGCAAATCAAATGTCCCGATGAAATGTGGAAGTTCCACCTCAAGGATTGTTGAGCAGAGCAGCCGCCATGTTCTTGATGATGGAGGACCTCAGCTGAGGGAGGAGGCTGATCTTCATCAGCTTGCTGCTCGAGTATTTATTCTTGACGGCCTGTAGAGGAACGCCACATTTAGGGGCAGTTGTGCTCAACACAAAACAACAAGTTCTGCTTTGTCAGCCAACTCACCTGGAACTTTGTTTTCCCGTCATTTACAGTCACAACATTTTTGGCGATGTGCTGCATGATTGGCTTCAGGTGGGCCTCGTCATAAGTCGAGTAGCGTTGCTGTGTAGGAGACTGAAAAGGCCGATCGTTACACGACTTGCTAAAAAGCAGCAGGGAGGAAAGTTACACATTTAACCCGCCGCTCTTTTCAGCAAACTCACCCACGGCTGCCCCTCAAGCAGCAGCTGGGAGAGACACAGGGAAGCGGCGGCGATCTCAGAGGGCCGGTAGTGCACCATGTCGTAGTCGACGAGGGTCAACTCCATCAGGTACTTGGCCAGCGTGTGTCTCTCTACATCAGACTGAGACAAACATCCAGGCTGCTCACAACTCAGGACACGTTTTACTAATCTCTTGTTAAAGCACGGCACTCAAACCCGCCAAGATACTCGTGTACAGAGAAATCTGTCCAGTCCTGGTGGTTTTCTTCCTAAATGACTGTATTTAAGAAACTGTACACAGGAACTATGTGCAGAATGTTCACTGCAACAGAGTCTACATGTGGAAACTTAAGCATATTGATGATTACTGAAAACTGCCATTTTCATGTAACCAGGAACTGATACTGTAGCTCTTCCTTCAGACATTGATAAATGCAATTCTGGTTAAAACTCACATTAGCGACCTTGGAAGCCCGTCGCAGGAAGTGTAGCGGAAGAGGACGTCCCAGCTCAAAATTGAGGCCCCTCAGAACCACCTGCTCCATCTCCAGAATCTGAGACTTGGTAAAGGCGTTGTCTGTGATGTAGGCGAAGTCGCCGACCTCGGGAGCGTACATCTCCTCATACTTGCAGGCCACCAGCATGGCCGTCACACCAACGAGCTGCAGCTTTCGTCGAGAGACGGGCTGGACCTGCAGCACAGAGGGGAACGTTTTTAACTCCGTTCACAGGACACAAAGAAGAGACTTTAGACCGCTCTTACCTGGAGGAAACGATCCAGGATGGCAACTGTGAGGTACAGAGTCTCCTGCAGCAGCTGGAACCTGGAGTGAACCTGGACCAGCCAGTCGATCAGAAGAGCTCGCATGCGTTCAGTGATTTCATAACCCTGCATGTAGTTGGCTCGTACCGCCTGCTGCACCTGTGGAGACAGACGGCTGAAATACAGAGACGATGCAGGGTGACAGCAGAGAGTCTGGCTGATGAAGAATAAGTTACCTCCAGGACGTGTAGATAATTATAGATATCTTTGACATATTGCGAGCAGAGCTGTGGCAAGTCCGCGTCCTCCTCGTCGACGTCCTGCACAGTGAGCAGTGCCTCAGAGAAAGCCTGGCACAGCTCCTGCTCCTCCTTCATGGACACATCAGCTGACTCCTCTGAAACTGGGGGGAGGGGATCTGCAGGTGCTTGGACCTGCACAACCGGAAGCGCCACTGTGACCGCAGTGGCTTTAGCTTTTTGGGCACAAGATGGGTTTGGCTGATGCTTTGGCTCGTCCCGTCTTCTGAGGAAACCAATCACATGCACTTTTACTCAGAAATGGTTTGAGTTTGACTATAAAGCTGGTTTGATTTGAAATAAGGCAACATGTTTCAATAAATGCATATTTAAAAACAACAAAAAAAGTTACTAGTGCATTTCTTCAGTCCAAGTGCAGCAGTTCTCCTTGTGTACACAGAGTTAAAGTCCAGATGACCTCTAAACACATGGGTATTAATCTGCTGCAGCTTCCTTTGGACAACAGCGTACATGTGCTTTTGGCCATTTATTGTAGCTCGTGTCCCAGTGCGTTATGGATACTATGTGACTCCCAGCGATGAACAGAGTGAAACAACCCAGAAACGGTAACTTTTATAGTTGTTCTACAGTAAAGTTACCTTCGTGTTGACCGGTGCTGCTGCAGGAAAGTTGGTGATCTCTCCGAGAGCAGCTCTCCTCGGACCTGCTGCGGCGCCTTTTCCCATCTTCACCTGGTTCTCTGCGGCTGGAAGCTGCTGACAGAAAGAAAACGAAATCCAGAAACTTTGTAGAAGCTACCGAAAGTGACAAAACGGGCAGCGGGAGGTGACGCTAGCTAACGATGCTAGCTAGCGCAGCTAACAAGCTAAACGCATTTAAACAGCGACATAACTTCAGTTTACTCACCGCAGCACGAACTTCCACAGACGACATGTTGCAGCAACGAGAACAAACGGACTCAACAGCGACTTATTTTAAGCAGCGAGCAGAACAAGTTACCTGCACAACGTGTAAACACTGATTTCTGCAGATAAACAACACCGAGAGGAGCCGCTTTCAAATAGCGCTCCGTTAAATCTGATTGGCTACAGCTGTGGTAGACGCTCCTGATTGGTTGTAGAGCGTGTCACGTGTACAGGTCTAGCGATATTTAAATTCTGGGAAATAATACTTTAAAAAATATTATTATTTGTTATAATTGGAAATTTGAAAATAAACTAAAATAAATATAATAAATACGACGAAAACCCAACTCATTATTATGGAGCTATTATGAACATAATTACTTAATTACTCTCATTGTTATAATAAGAGTTTTATTTGATAAAAAATATCCTCAATTATTTGATTTTATTGAGTGCATGTGGCACAGTACACAGACAGTAAGTAGCCAGGCTAAAGCAAACCAGAGACTTTGTTTGTCTGCCTTTAGCCAAAATCCTGCCATGGTACACGTTTAATTCCCCATGTCTTTTTACTAATTAGGAGAGTTGGCTTGTTCTAAAAATTTGAATGTAAATAACTTTAGTTGCTGCCAACGGCTGATTTGTAATGGAATATCTCCAGACACCCTTTTGCAGTCTTGTTAGCACAGCTTGTAAAACTGGCCTTCTTTAGACTGGTTGAGTATCTGGACCATCAGCATTTGTGGGTCCCGTTACAGGCTGAAAATCCAGAAACCCACAGAGCGGCAAAGAAAACCTGTTGGTATTTTGACACAATAAATCTGCCTTCTGAAAAGAATTCAATTATCAAAAATCAGGAATCAAACACGTGCATCTAGCTGTTGCTAGCTTTTAGTCACTTGAGTTTCTGTGTTTTTATTTTTCCAGGTATTAACTTTGTTGCCATGAACTATTTCCAGAGGTTACAGCAAATAGCTCGTACAGTAACTCTTACAGTAGGGCAAGATTGCCACAGTCTGTTACTACAAAAAACAGAATAGTGCGCACATCTGGGCAAAGGTGTTCTTGTCCCCGGCAGATTTGTATTTCCTCTCTAAGGTTTGTGCTGAAGAGTTGCAGAGGTCTCAAATTGGCTCTTTAGCTGCCAAATGTTCACCAGCTAGTCTCTGAACTGTGTCTAAACCTGATGTTTGCTGCTGAGCAGGTCATGTACAGCTGCTTTATCAGAGTGTCTTCCAGTGAAAACAGCTGTGGGCAGCATGAATCGAAATATTGAAGTTGCTATAAAATCAAAACAACTAGCTGAAAGACAAAAAAAATACTCTGTCAGAGCTGCAGAGTCAGGTGATAATTCTGTTTGTGACCACTTTCACATTACACACATTCATCATTTGATCCATCGTTAATACATTTATGATTATAGCAGCTTTAAGATTACAGGTAGTATAAAAGTCTGATCTTTAAATCTGAGAAATGTAACAAAGTTTAGACAATTAGAGGTAAAATGTAAATAAAACGGCGTACAAAAGCATATTTTGCAGCTGTCTTATCTATAAAATGTGCAGCCATGTCTGATTAAATCCAACATGTGACTTTTCCAGGACTCTGCTGTCTGCAGACAAACCGGTATCTCCACTGATATTCTGCATTTTCCTTACGGTCAACAAACAATTGAAAACAACAGAGCAGCTGTTTCAGGAAATTACTGATCCCCTTGTTTTAAAACACACACACACTACTGTTCAAAAGTTTGGGGTCACTTGGAAATTTGTGCAGACGCTGTTAATGTTGTAAATGACTTGTTGCTGCCAACAGCTGATTTGTAATGGAGTATCTACAGAGGCCCGCTGTCATCAGCCCTGTGCTCCAATGGCACGTTGTGTTTGCGAATCCAAGTTTATCATTTTAAAAGGCTAATCGATCATTAGAAAACCCTTCTGCAATCGTGGTGGCACAGCTTCAAAACTCTTGTGCTGACCTAAGAAGCTGTTAAACTGGCCTTCTTTAGACTGGTCGAGTATCTGGAGTATCAGCAGCTTTTGGTTCCATCAGAGGCTCAAAACAGCCAGAAACAAAGAACTTCCTTCTGAAACTCCTTAGCCTGCTCTTGTTCTGAGAAATGAAGCTATTCCACGAGAGAAACTGCCAAAAAAAACTGAAGATCATCGTACAATGCCGCGTACTAGTCCCTTCACAGAGGAGAAAGAGGAGTGGGAGGCTCCGGTGCACAACTTAGCAAGAGGACAAGTACATTACAAGGTTTAGTTTGAGAAACGGACGCTTCACTGGCAGCTTCATTAAATAGTACCCGGAAAACGCCACTCTCAACATCAACAGTGAAGAGGCGACTCCGGGATGCTGTGCGTCAGAGTGGCAAATGAAAGCCATTCATCAGACCAGACGATAATAATAATTAAAAAAGATAAGGGCTGCATCTTTTCTTTTATTGGCTTTTTTTTTTTCCTTTTCAGAAGGCAGATTTATTGTGTCAAAATACCAACAGGCCGCTCTGTGGGTTTCTGGATTTTCAGCCTGTAACGGAACCCACAAATGCTGATGGTCCAGATACTCAACCAGTCTAAAGAAGACCAGTTTTACAAGCTGTGCTAACAAGACTGCAAAAGGGTGTCCGGAGATATTCCTTTACAAATCAGCCGTTTGCAGCAACTAAAGTTATTTACAACATTAACAATGTGTACAGTGTATTTCTGATCAATTTGATCTTATTTTAATGGACAAAAGTTTACTTTTCTTTCAAAACAAAGAAGTGACCCCAAACACAAAGCGGAAGTCCTATTGTTGGTTTTTGGTCTTTTTTTGATTGGATTTGTTGACAACAAACAAAAAATATAAAATATAACAAGCTTTAACTGTCGGACGCAGCCACTCCTTCAATGACAGAAACTAATGAAAAGCTCACATCAGCGCTGTGATGAAGGTAGAAACTTCCAGGCGACCTCAAAACAAGCTCAGGAAACAAGAATCACAAAGAAACTTTATATAGTTTTCAAGTATTCAAAACTGTTAAATAAGTACAAGATGTGTTCACATGATTTACATATTGGACAATATATGCACTGCCCATTTTTAATTCTCTTTACACGTTTTTCCCACTAACCCACGGCAACACGCTAAAATGTCCGCAAACTATTCACATTTGTTTTGCCTTTTTTTTTGTTGTTTTTTTTTCCTCCTCTCCTCTCCTTTTACTTTTTGAATCAATTGGAAATCTTGACAGCTGTCTATTGGACAAAGACCACACATACGGTACACCTGGAACAGTTTACAGTGTTGGATGGGAGACGTCCGACGAAGGAGGGAGGGGCAGAAAGGACAGACTGAGCCAGGTTCAGAACGGTGATTAGCTGCTGGTGATATGAACAGTACATATTAACACAGGAAAAGTGGGTTAACATTCAATCTCAGATGATCCCTTGATCTATTGGACAGTTCATTTACTTCCACACAACAAAAATAAAATAATATACAGAAGGACTGAGGGTGGACTTTGTGTCGGGGGTGGGGGGGGGCAGATGGCTTAGCATTTTCACTACTCATTGATTTCCGGTAATCACGTGACAAATTTGGTCTAAATGTGTTAAAAAGCTATTTGTTAAGGCACCTAATGCTGTTTGTTTTTTTTTTGCAACCTAAAAAGAAACTGAACGTATATGAGCACCTGTAAAGAAAAACAAAACTTAAATAGGCTACAGACAAAACTTAGAAAAAAGTGTGTATTTCTACAGAGTTTTTTGGGGCCTGTTGGAAGTTAATGCTGCCACCGTCTACCAATAAGAGAGTTACACAGGACAGAATATTCAAACCGATGAAAGGTAAGGAAATAAAAGTAGCACCATAGAGAGAATACATGATTCTAAGCTAGTCAGAATATTTCACACAATGCGATTTTCCTCCAATAACTCTAGTGTTGACGGACATTTGTTAACGTGCCTCCAAAACTCATAATTAGGTAAATAAAAAGAGAGACTGGACTTGTAATGTCGTAATGCAGCTTGGGGATGGGGGGGGGGGGGCATAAACCAGTCTTTCTGTACATTACTTTTTATTTTAAAAGCATACATGTAGCTTTAATATAATGGATTTGGTTTGATTTGCCTACTCAGTTGTGTGCCATGTCACCATTATACAGCAGCTCCGAAAACAAAGACAAGACGCTGGTCCTGTTAATCTAATTACTAAACCTTGTGTGCTTTTGTGTCTTGTGGATTCTGCAGCTTAATTAACTTAATTTTATTTACAGCGCTCTAAATAAAACAAATTTGTGCAACTCCCGTTACAACAGATCGTTCGTGTCATGAATGTGAGACAACCGCGGGAAAACTGAAACACTTTTCCACATGCGTATTGTTGCTGCTAACATTTCAGTACGATTTCCCATTTCTGTTTCAAGTTCTGGCTTTGGTGCAAGTTAAATCCATAATATACATAAAACTGTAAATTCTATTTCAAAAACTCTCTCTACGATGTTCAACACGCGAGCACGGATTTGCTTAAAATAAAAAAATAAACGTCCTATGATTGAACACACACACGCACATGATTAACTTACACAGTAAATAATGAGGGGTAATAAATGGGGTTCTTTAGCAGGAAAACTACTGGGATAATGAGAACATGGCACCTGAATCCAAAATGAACTGACTGATTGATCTTATAATGCCTCTGGGCCGACCACGCCACACTGTACGTTCGACCGTGGTTCGCCACACACAAATTACAAACTACGAGACAAAAAAACAAAAAGAAAAATAAACTCAAAAGTTTCATAAAAACCTGCCCGTGAGACAGAGGGGATAGTCACCATTACTGTACACTTTCTACAATATCCATGTCCGTTATGAATATAACAAGTGCATTCACCTTTAAAGGAATAGTTGAACGTAAAACAAATTCTCGTTTTTCACTTAAGAGGTCCGGGCCAGCTTATTCAGGAACGATGTGGAGGACAAACGTGGCATATTCCAGCAGTTTTTCGTTTAGCATAGTTTGCAGATTAAATGCCAGAGAAGTGGACTCGGTGAGTCAACTTTCACTTCATAAAAAAGGTCATTTGAGAACTACAATAACACCAGAAACTAAATGAACACAACTTAAGTGAATAAGAGAGGTTTGTTTTAGGTCAACAGAACCCTTCTAGTAAAGTTCTTTCAGACTTTTTTTTTTTTTTCTCTCCCCTCAGCAATTTTGTTTTGTTTTTAAATTACTGTACTTCTTTTACATCAACACAGGAGTTGATTAGCGAGTCATCTCTATTTACAGGGGAAGGTGGAAGTGATGAACTCCACACAGCTTATGCATTGAGCCTCAGAGACTGATCCTCTCTCCTCCTGGAGGAGATATCGATGTCTATGGAGTCTTTACCCACAATGAGTCGGAGGCGCTTTGCTGGAGGAAGTGGAATGAAATCGTCTTCGAACTCATTGTCGAAGTAGTCATCATCATCGTCGTCGTCGTCGTCGTCTTCATCCTCCTCCTCCTCCCCTTCCTCATCATCGTCCTCTTCAGACGAAGGGTCCGCCAGGACCTTTTGGGTCCGATGTCCACCATTTCTGGCCTCCAGACTCTGACCCATGTCCCCGTTATAGGACATCTGGTCCGCCTTTGTCTGGGATACTCTCCGTGCATCGTCCTCCCTCTTCAGCTGGATCTTCAGCTTGGTGGAGTTGCTGTGGACCCCGGGAGCATAGCCGTTATTCAGTTTGGCAATGTATGAGCTGCCTTTGTCCTTGTCGTGGTCCTTGCTGAACTTGATGCTGATTTTGCTGGAAGAGGCCGAGTTGACCGTAGAGGCAGAAAGGTTGGAGGAGCCAATCGGATCGTTGGCGTCATTGGTCTTGCTACTGCTGCTGTCCCTCCGCCGGCGGAGCGTCAGTTTGGGGATGCCCGTGTTGTTCTCCAGGATTAGCTGAGCGTCGTATCGCGTGATCCGGCGCTTTTTCTTCCCCTTGTCCTGCGACCGGCAGCCACTCTTACCCTTGTCCCTGCGGAGGGATTTGCCGCCATTGGCAACCCCATTGTAGTCCCTGTGTCGGTCTGCGAAGTTCAACAGCACGTTGCCACAGTCCGAGAAGTTTGCGGCGTGGCCAGCAGCCACCGGCATGAACGGCTCGCCGTACGAGTCCTCACATTTAATTGTCCGCTCGGCCCTGAGCGGCGCCAGCCGTTTCCGCCGGCTGCACGAGCCTCTTCTGGCGTAGCCAGCGTCTAATGCCGGCTGCTCCAGTCCTACTCCGTGGCGGAGGTACTCCTCCATGTCAGCTGGCTCCGTTTTGATGACCACTCCACCAGGGACTGGGCTCAAGCCGTCCATAGCACTGGGCTCCAGCTTAACGCCTGCTGCTGTTTCCTGGGCTTTTACAAGGGTCCTTGTGGACCTGCGAGTTCTGTACATCGAACACTGGCTGCCCTCGCTGTTTTGCACATGCGGTAGATTGCCATTTTCCTTCGCAGCGTGACGGGTGAGGCAACCCCGCTGGCCTAGTGTCTGCGGCACCAGCTCCTGTCCATCCTTCTCCTTCTTGACGGTGACACTTTTACACAGTGACACCTTTGAGTCCCTGAGACCCAGCTGGCAAGTCTCTCCTTTGGCCAACGCCTTGGGCTCTGCACCCCTCCTGCGACTCCGCAACTGGACTTTACTTAGTGAAGGCTTGGATTGGGATTTTAGTCTCTTTGGTACCCTGTTATTGTTTACACGACCTTGTTTTGAACATGAGGTAGTAAGGGCTCTTGACAAAGTCTGTCTGGATTGAGTCCTGTTTTTATACTTCAGGCCAGATGATGAAGATGATGATGATGTTCTTTTTCTGGCAGCTGGTAGGAGAAAGAAAATGTTGCACATTATGTATTTATAACATTGGATGACAAATACAAAATCAAATATGATATTAATGATTTTAGTGCCTCAACATTAATAATACACTGAGAATGACATCTATGTGTTTATTTACATACAACATAGTTTAGATACGATTGTAAGAAAAGGTTTATTACTTTACAGTACTAAATCTATATACTGCCCGTATATACATGTACTTAACACATCTGTGAAATGCTACCTTTTCCACACTGCACTGCCACATGGGATTTCTCTCTGTTCCCCAGATTTTGAGTTTGGGATCTGAACCACAACCTGTATAAAAGAAGTGGACGTAGCCATCATCACCCATTACTTTACGGACTACTGTTTTGGCCGTCGCCATCTTGGTTTATTGGCACCAGAATTGACCATATTTGGATGAGAGTGGAGCTAGGTCACCTTGAAAACTTGTAAATCACGAGGTAGCCCCGCCCTAAAGCATCCCCTTCTTTCTGGTCTCTGTTCCTCTAAATGGAACCATGATTTACTAAATGAACATCATGCTGTGTTGAACAAGACTTGAAACTAGCGATTGAGACCATGAACTCGTTAGGAAAGTGTTTACTGAGGGAATAAATCAGCTGAGAAGTAGAAACATTTTGCCATTAAGTTCAATGCAATCAGACTTGGGGTCGCCCCCTGCTGGCCATTAGAAAGAATGCAGGTTTTTGGCGCTTTAGCATTGGCTTCACTTTTCAGAACTGGAGGTTGCCGCCTGATCTGAACCCATACAGTAATTATGGCAACGGTATGAAGACACAGATTTCATTTTTTAGGGGACTCTTACACTGATGTGTTTTTGGCATTTCCTGAGAGTCTACATCGGTGTGGGAGCCTACAGAGTGACTATCTGAACTCCTGTTTCCTTCCCCCAACTTCTTCAGCCTGTTGAGACGCTTGTCTGTCTCCCGCAACCCGTACTTGCTGTTGATCACCGGTACTTCCACGGGTAGTCCAGCTTTAGATTTGAAAGCGCCGGTGCCCCGTCTGCACGACAACAACAAAACAAACGACAAAACATTACTGAAAAGCGACACGGTTGTCTTGATTAATAGCACAGCGGGTGTAACAGTACACAAAAATCACAGTTCGGTATGAATTTCGGTTTTGAAGTCACGGTTCGGTTTATTTTCAGTATAGCAAGGAGAAAAAAAAATGCAAACATTAACTTGCTGCTTGTTTATTATATACTTTTGTAAACATTAGTGTACAATTTTTTTACTCCTCCTCTAAGTTCTCTAAAACAATGCCACATATAGCTAATAAAATATAAATAAATATGGATTACAGCGCAGCATTCTTCTTCTTCTTATACCGTCTATGAGCATAATCAATCCCAGCTTGAAGGCCTGCTCAGTTAACTACTACTATCAAAAAAAACCCTTTTCCAAAGTCTTTTTGTTTTTTTGCCTTGTCGCAGAGACTCTCCCTTTCGTGTGGTACCATTAGTGAGTTAGCAAGTTTGATGTGTTGCCAGAAAAATGCCTGATCACTACGGAGAAATGTCGTCCTACTGCTTTCGTCTTATCGACCTGTCTTTGTCTGTTGTTGTATTTCACAAGGAAACCGAAGTGTTCCCAAACAGGAAACCTCAACAATAAGGGAGGGTCTTCAAGCTCTGGCCATGATGCTCAAGTCGCTAGTTAGCGAGAGGCTGGGCAAAAGCGTGCTGCCTGTGTAGCGCCGCTCAAAATGCAAGGCGGAGATTTGGTCCGCCACTTAATATGTCCGTGTGGAAACTCGGAATTTACGTCTGTTTCGCGCACAAAAATGGACATTTTGCACCGCTCCGAAAGTCCTTTACAAATACATGCACCGTTACACCTCTAGCAAGCTTATATAACCACCATCATCTGTAACCATCTGTATGCATTTACACTTTTTAATAGTGTATTTGTTGTTACACCTACCGTTCACATGTATAGCATTCACAAAATTCATTGTTTTCCCCAAAAAACCCGTCTCCGTAGTAGCAAGAGATTTCCTCTCCTGGTTCAATGTCCCTCAAAACCTTCACACAGGCTGTGTCCCGTCCTGTCGACACAAACTAAACAAAAGATAACCACCACAAAATGTGTTTATTTACCGAGCTTCTGCATTAAACAGCAACTGATCCAATGAGTTCTTATTTTGCTGAAGAACTTACCTTGCAGTTTGGCCGACAATCTGAAAAAACAAGCGGCAAAGACAATAAAGTTAGTATCTTTATAAAGAAGACGGCGACCATTGTTAAGAGATCGTGCTACAAAAATGTATAACTAGGAGCACCAGCAACTTAAATATGCCCCCAGATTTGTCTTTTCACCCAACAGAGTGCGGTGGCACATTTGGTATAACTTGGACATGAGACACATTCAGAATTAATAACCTCTCCACTCTGCAACAACGAGAGCAGGGTACGCTTGCAGGGGCGGGGCTTCAATGCTAAGATGTGGTGGTGAATTGTTGAAACGGAGTTGTTTAAGAGTTTTATCAAGGTCTAAGGAGGGACAAAATATTATCTCTATCTGTTGTTTCAGACCGACGGGTGGAGGAAAGTGTTTCAAAGTAGGGAGGTTTGTAGTGGGAGCACTGGGGTGTCAGGTGTGGCTGTGTAGCAATAGTTTACATATCTCAAGGGTCAGGTAGAAGGGCCTCTTTGCAGAATTTTGCTTAGAGCCCCTGGGAGTCGATTTAAGTGGTGGGAGAACCAGTGCTACTAGTCCAAAAAGTTAGTATGGAGCCCTGAAAATAATCCACAGACTCATTTTATTGTTACAGAACCAATGACACCCAATCACAACAACTAATACCGTGATTGATGAACGCAGCTGGCCCCAGCCAGAGCTGCGCACAGTTCTTGCGGGTTGAATACATGACACTGAAGTCGTTCTCCCCGTGCCGGAGGAGCATGTTCTCCTCACTCTCTGACAGCTCAGCAATGCATCCCACCAGGTACTCGATCTTGTCATTTCTTTTCCTGTAAAACAACAAAGGGTAGAAAAGGTTTGTTACGCACTGCAACAGCAGGCTGCGTCACCTCGTGTCAAAGTGCTCTTACTCATACAGTCATATAGCTGCCGTGTAGGGATGTCACGAGAACCGATACTTCGGTACCAAGTCGATACCAAATTTCTGAAAACGTGTAGGTACTCGTTTTGCTAGGTCCCAAAATGTACTGAAGATCCAATACGTGGAAGATGGCCACAAGTGCAGCTGCAGCGACAGCGACGCCTCGACTCATCAATTAGAAAAGAGATGGAAACGGGGGTGAAGTTGGTTTCACCGTTTGATCACCTGAAAATCACCAAAGATGACGATGCAGTTTGCAGCGCTAAGAACTGAGTGTCTGTCCAACGCGCCTGTTACTGTAGGAGTTACCGTCTTGTAAGTGCAAATACAATCTCAATCATCAGTAACCACTTAAATATGGAGAGTGCAAGGTTGCTCATTTATGATTATATTGACACATATCACCTCTCATCCGTCCTGGACATCCTCCCACAACTTACACAGCTGATAGTTGTGTTTTTTGTAATGTTCAAATGTTTTTTTTTAAAAGCATCGTATGTTGAAGTACATAGATTTTATTGTTATTTACCGTGGAACCGAATTGGTACAGTGAATTTTGTGAGTTTTACTGGTATCAGTATAGACTACTAAATTTCTGGTATCGCGACATCCCTACTGTCATGTATCCAGAACAGCCTATATATGTGCAAGCTAATGCTGTTAATACTAATTCTATCACTGGTGGACTGTTTGACTAGTGGTGCTGTTATAATCAGAAATAACAGATGGCAGTAAGACCTCACCATTCCTTTGTTGCCACAATTTTAGCTCCATTCTGCTCTGATGAATAGCGATTACAAGGGAGAATCTCAAACCCGCTGTCTGTGGCAAACATCCGCAGATACACAAATACCTGTGCAAAACAAAGTTAGTCATCTGATTGTTTGGTCAACTGTGATGTTGGAAGAATAATTGCGTGGACCTTCAATAATAGTATTTTTACATGTTGCTTGAATAGCTTTTCTTGAGCTTTTGTCTTGTGGAGAAAAAGATTTCGGGACCAGTCTCCGGTCGTCAAAGCTCTGAAAGCTTTCTCCAAGTTGTCGTGTTTCTTGAAGCGCTCGATGATCTCTTTCAGCTCCTCTTGTCTTCCCTTAATTGGTCGAAATCTGTAGGGGACACAATGACACAAATCAAACAAAGGCGAAAATCACATATGAAACACGACATCAGTGCCTATAAATAAGAATGTTTTTCTATAAAAGTGAAGAGGCTGCATGAGCATCAATTCCACTGTGTTAAAGCTGCTGACCTGGTGTTCATTTTGTGTGTTTGAAAGCCCAGGTATGGATCCAGGATGAGGCTCGTGGTCAGATCATCATTCTCACACAACTCCTTGGCAGTCATTCCTGAGGAGGGCACATAGCGCCTCTCTGCCTCCAGACTGGCCGCATTAAACCCTGTAAACGCCAAACACAGACTGATGTTTGCGCACACGACCGATGGAGGAATCTATACATTAGTTAACGCAAACACGTTAAACTCACTGCGGCTACATCTTCGGTTTCTGTTTCTGCTGTGGCGCAGGGACGCCCGCTGTGAATGCTGAGAGCGAGTCTGGCTCACAGGTTGCTCGCTGGTCAACTTGTTTCCGTGTCGCCTGCCATTTAATACCATGTTCTTGGATTCGCCCAGCCACTTCATGCCCACAAGCCCCCTGGTCCAGTTGCATTTAGTCTCCGAGATGAAGAAACACTCTTGAGTGGGGAAGACTGGGGTCTAGAGTTTGAAACCTGGAGGTGGAGCAGAAACAACAAACATTACTAGAAGCACAGCAAAGACATTTAGTTTACACAGATTGAAATTCAAAACATAAGGGGATGTAGGGATGTCAGGGGTTTCACTGTCTGATCACCTGAAAATAACCAGAGAGGACGATGCAGTTTGCAGCGCTAAAGATTTAATGTCTGCCCGACGCACCTGTTACTGTGGGTGGAGTTAGGGACCGTCACAAAAGTGCAATATAATCTGCTTCAATGATCAATAACTTTTTTGTTTTTCAATTTTAAATCTCAGACAGTATAGATACTATAGACACCTTAAACATTTCAAACCAGCGAGTTTGTAAAAGAAAGTAGGAGGATGAGTTGCCAACAAACAGCGACTGTCATGCAACTAACGAGCTAACGAGATGCATTCCCCATGTATCAGAGGACAAGACAAGAATACTCTCAATCCCTTGACCTGTTCACACTTTATACTGAACTGTTTCCTGGTTGCGATCATGAGCTCTAAACATAAATCTGACATTTCAACAAAAAGCCTCAAGGATGCACCGGGATACAACTACGTTCAGAGGGGATCAGGGATTCATTCATTGTTGTGTGGTGAACGTAAATATGTCAGACCACTTTACCGTCCAAACAACATCTGGACACAGTTCACTCAATGCGGCTAAACGAATTGGACAAGGTTATTGAGGGTGTACAAAAATCTGTCACAGCTAAATATTCCACGACCATTAAAAGCTACTACAGGCAGCATCAGTGAGTTTACCCAGTGATGGCTGGTGTTGTTCACACTATAGGGCCAATCTCAACGTCCACACTCACAGACTCAAACTTTCAGGCTCGTTCCCGGTGAGTCCGTGAGGACTTCGGGCTACAAAGTCGGCATTTCTGCAGACTTTGCCTGAGGGAATTGCCCACAGTTCATACAGTTGTGTCATGAAACACGAGGATTACCAGGAAGTGAGAGAAAAATCAGGGCAAATCCGCCTTATGAGAGAAAGAAAAAACAGTAAACAAACAACCATGGAAGGAGTGACCAACCCTGGCGTTAACGTGGTCAGAGAAAAAGTTTACATAGATTTTAGATGGTACACAGAACACATGACATCAAAGGAAAGCAATCACCTTATTACACACCTGGTTTATTCAACTATTTATTTTACTTTTTACTTAATGATGCTGGTTTGAAGAAGAATAATGCATTGATTATTGACAAATACAGATCATTATTTACAATTACCTCTCATCAACTCTGTAAGGCAAGAGCCTTCGAGAGGTATAAATAAGGGCAGTCAGTCCCTTAAGTGCCTTACTGGCCGCTAAGAAAGTAATGAACGTAAAAAAAAAAAATGATGTGGCAAAGTCCTGTCCCATTCCCGTTTATAGCATTTTGAGCCCTTGCAGCCTCTTGCACTCAATCACTTGCCAGGTGAGGTCAGTTATGTCTGTCAGAGTTCAGGGCTGTGGGCTGGGGGATGCTGAGATTGGGCCATGGTTTAAAGAAACACAGAAAGCAGTGTTGAGGAAACAAGTTAAAAATGAGTCTGCAGCACCGCTCAGTGGTAACCCCAAATAGTGCACCGGCTTACTGTTAAGCGCAACAGCAACATCTTTATATTATGCTTTAACACACAACAAAACATCCTATCTTAAGAGTTCTGACTGTGTAGGACGGGGAACTTTACTTTTTTGTCTGTGTTCTTCCATGTGTTGTAGATAAAATCTGTTTCAAAGTCTAGAGTTAAAGTGCAGTGGGGTTGTCCATCTTATCCTATCCCCTAAGTACTTATAAATTCTACTTCACATCTTTCCTTGAGCTTGTGTCGTTTCTCATCAAAGTCAAGGACAAGTGGTTAGGAAAGGATAATTATTTGGACTTTTCAACCATAGCCTGCAATTGGGCCATGGTCGGTTTAAGAAACACAGGAAAGCAGTGTTGAGGAAACAAGTTTCAGATGAATCTGCAACGCCGCTTAGTGTTAACCCCGAATACTGCACTGGCTTACTGTCAAGTGTACCAGCAACGTCTTTAATGCTATAACACACACACACATAAAGTATTGTTAATTATATGATTCATATAGGCACACAGCCACGTCACATTAGATTCATAACAGCACAAATACATAATGAATTGTCAACACGTCTGTCACACGAGTAATGTCGTTTCTACAAAGAGCATCATCTAATTTTTTTAATGCAACTAATGCATAAGAAGCTTCGCATTCCTATTTAGCTTTGATGCTAAATGTTAGCCTAAATAAAACAACAAGCCACGGAGGAGAAGGGGGGGGGGATCAGGAAAAGCTGTGGAAACCCGGAAGGCCACACCGGCAGCTGAGGCCGAGATTGTTATCAGTTATCAATCCAGCTTGCATTGTTTGCTAACTGTCGTCTCTCCACCCGTTAGCATCGAGCTAACCATGCAAAGGCGACGACAGGGAGATGTTCGGCCGTGGTGGTTAGTTAGCTAGCTTGGCAGCAAACACCGGCAATATGGCACGGTGATTTTTAACAAGCAAGTTGCCCACAGACACTAAAAACACAAAAGCAGTTAATCCGAATTCAACACAAAGACCTGAACGGAATAACACACAGATGGTGGTTAATAAACGACAGCATTATAACACCATAATACACATCCACTACACATCTCAAGCAGTAAGCCGCTAACATGGCAGCAAATAAAACCATGATGGCAAACGTTTATTAAGACGTGTCTCCTGGTTTAAAGAGAATAAACCTTTGGTGAACTGTCTTTAACAAAAAACAAAACGCACTTCTTACTTTGCGTTAGCTTATAGCAGCTAGCATCAAACTTAACTTCAACGAGCTGCTAACTTAGCTTCCGTCACCATCTCAGCTTAGCACAGGACACATCAACAGTAGATTTAAAAAAAAAAACAATACTACTGAACTTACCCTCTCCCCCTTTCTCTCTCTTTAACAATATATTAGATTGACTGTGCTGCTAATATTGGTCGACATCTTATAGTAAGTCGCTAGCTAACGTTATGCTAACCTACCTGCAAACCAGTGGACCACAGCAGCTAACGCGTTAGCTTGGATTGTAGCTTAACAGGCTAAATATATCATTTGTAAGCGAATTAAAAGTTAAGTTTTCCTGCCGATGCCCTTGTGGATATAATCTACGGTAGCCATAAGAGCAAGCAAGGGAACAGCGGCTCGATGAAGGCAGTTATCGATCATTATAGCTGTCAGTTATTAAATAGCAGTAAGCCGAAAGCATTTTTCACGCGTTAAATGTCTTCAGACGACAACAGAAAACAGAACAAACATAGAAAATACTCACTGGGTGGTTTTGTTTTAAAACAATCGCAAAACAAAACACCGCTCCCCCAAAAACTAATCCAAAATTTGGCACGACACCCTAAACGAAAATATCACAGGAAACACATTTAAAAAAAAAAAGAAATTAACATTAAAATTCAAGATGGCGGCCTTAGCACAGGCGAGAGGGAGAGAAAGGCGCAGCACCGCCATCCACAAGAAAGTAGATCCCGACACACACGCAGCCGTTCGCGTCCGTCGGGACCGAAATGAGAAACACTGCTAGACAATTCAGTCTGAAACTACAAAAGTGGTCGTTACAGCCGATTCTTCTTGTGTTTTTCTTTTCAAATGATGTCGAAAATCTGTATTTTAAGGTTTGTGCCAGTAACTGTCGGATGTACACCGAAGTAGTGCTGCATAAACAAACCTCTTTACGCTTCCTAAAGAATCCAACGGTGGGCAGACAACAGTGGGTTCTGCCTGCCCCGATTCATGAAGAACCTCACTAGAACAAGTGAACTTAGAACCACATCTAGACGAGAGACCTCATGACTTCCTCCTTTTACTATACTATTATTTTGATGTCCCTCCTCTTCACTTGTTAATGTGGGTAGTGCAGGCTCGTAAACAGGCTGTTTCCTCAGTCTCTACAGAAGCCATGTCGCTAATTGTTCCACATTATAGATTTATCTTTTAACAATAATTTAATTTGATGGTTTCACATTATTGATTTATCCTTTGACATTAACTAACTTTGATGATTTGAAAAAAGTTAATACCTCTAATATCAGTTTTGGGGAGTAACTAGTTACATGGAATATAGTTACAATTCAATTACAAAATAACTGTAATTGATTATAGTTACTGGGAACAAATGTGCAATTAAATTACTTTACTTATGAAAACGTGCATGATTATATTGGGGGTTACATCTGAATATTATCTGTAAACAGCTAGGTTTTATGTTGAATAGCTTATATTCATTTTGTTGCTTTGCACTTTTGTACTATTACTGTAAATTGTACTGTAACGGAAAGTTGAAACTGATAATCAGTGACCCAGAAAAAAACAGACAGCATAAAAAAGATTAACTTTTCTGAATGCCGATGTTTCCTTTTTAATTTTAAGTTTTAATTTCAATGCCAAATTTTTATTTTCGTATCAAAATTTAATGTCACTGTTCTAGCAGCAAACAGTGGACAACAGATCCTACTGATAAAAAGCTTCATTAGATCCCGAGCATGAAACATGCAAGGGTCCTATTGAAATGCAAGGAGCTTAAAGGTGCATAAAAACTCACTTTGCAAAGGTGGTGAAAAGTTGGTTTTCGTGCATGTCTGTGGCAAAATGGCTCGCTAGCACCCCCTAAAAAGCAGCCCCCAGGCCACGCTTAACCAAATAGTTAGAAATGTTTATGTCAGATGTATCAAGTTGTTATGACAACTTCCTGTTTCATTTGCCATGAAACAGGAAGTTGTCATAACTTGAGTGTAGAGTCCCGCCCTGAAGACATCTACATGACAATATTCACTCAATGGCATTTTCACAGCATGGTCCACACTTGGTGTACTTGCCAAAACGTGTGATAATTCAGAGCCGCATCGACGATCTCCAACAACTGCTACACAGTTATGGTGCGCGGGCCTGTTCAATGCTGCTTGCAGCTTTAAGCCCCCGATATACTTGCTTTTTAATAATGCATAGGCAATTGTTCACATACTTGCCTGCGTACTTTGCGTGTACCTGGAAGATTAAACGTGAATCCACTAGGGGGCAGATCAGGGCCAGATAATCCCTCGCCGACACCGGATTATCTTCCTTGACAACCTTGCACACCGTAAACAAACCAAATATAGCAACACTCAAGGAGGTTATGATTTTAATGAGACATCATAACAATCTCGGTAATTGCGGACTCCTTTTTAAAGATCTGCTGCTGACCTTCTTCTTTTGCGTTTAATGGCGGTTGGCAAACCAACTGCATACCGCCACCACCTGTGTTGGTTTGTTGAACAGGACATTGCTGCTGACCTGCCGGTCAGGTCGACTACATTTATTGAAAGTTTTATGTTGAAATGTATATTGTAATAGGCTGTATATTAAGTTATTGGGAGAAAACTGGTAGTTCTATGTAAAATCAGACGTTGAGTGCCCCCATATCGCCAAAATGGCGTGATCCTTCGACTGTGAGATTGACAGTTGAATCAGGCTCCGCCTATCGAAGCATCGGATCTTCGACTATTGGGGGTCAGCCCTAGTCTTTTCCCTTGGGAATAAATTAAATAAGTAAATATTCATTGAACAAATGAACTAAAAAGTTCTGAAAAAGGTTAAGTTATGCATTCAGTACTTGGTCTTTTGCACAATGTGGCGTGGCACGGAGGCAATCAGCCTGTAGCACTGCTGAGGTGTCTGTCGCTTTCCTCTTGACAATACCACATGGATTCCCTATGGGGTTCAGGTCAGGCGAGCTGGCTGGCCAATCAAGCTCAGTAACACCATGGTCAGCAAACCAGTTCCCAGTGGTTTTGGCCCTGTGCAGGTGCCAAGTCCTGCTGGAAAAGGAAATCTGCATCTCTTATCAGCAGATGGAAGCATGTTGTGCTCTAAAATCTCCTGGTAGACGCTGCATTGACTCTGGACTTGATGAAACACAGTGGATCGACCCCAGCAGACGACTTGGGACCCCAAATCCTCACTGACTGTGGAAACTTGACACAGGACTTCAAGTAACTTGGATTTTTAGCTTCTCCACTCGTCCTCCAGACGCTGGGACCTTAAGTATTTACTTTCATCTGAAAAGAGGACTTTGGACCACCGAGGAACGGTCCAGTTTTTCACTCCTTAGCCCAGGTAGACACTTCTGACGCTGTCTCTGGTTCAGGAGTGGCTTGACACTAGGAAAGTGACAATCCTCTCAAGGCTGCGGTCATCCCTGTTGCTTGCGCACCTTTTCCTACCACACTTTAACCTTCCAGTCAGCTTTCCATGAATATGGTTTGATCCAGCACTCTGTGAACAGCCAGCACTTTCAGTAGTGACCTTCTGTGGCTTCCCCTCCGTGTGGAGGGTGTCAGTGAGTGTCTTCTGGACAAACGTCAGGTCAGAAGTCTTCTCCATGATTGTGGTTGTGTGCACTGAACCAGACAAAGGTTTCAGAGAACCAGAGAAATTAAAAGCTCCTCTCAGGTCGACATTTCTGTTATATATATTCTTTATTGTAATATTTTAGATATAGATTTTTTTATTTCCATGAGCTGTAAACTGTGATCGGAAAGGTTAAAACAAACAAGAAAACATTTCACTTTATGTGTAATGAATCTAGATTATAAATGTTTCACTTTTTAAATTAAATTACTAAAAAAAAGATTATTTCCTGAGATGCACCTGTATGTATTTGATTGTATGGAACCTTTAAGTTGGTGAAATCCCAGTACACAAGTTGTTTATTGAGTTGTTGTTTTTTCTTTCTCTTCTGTGTCGCCAGATGTATGAATTCTGTATTTTATTATTATTTATGTGAAGTGATTGTAATTCGACATTTACTCCTCTTTGACTTTAAACAAACTGGTACAGGTTATCTGGTTTTACACTTTAGGGGAATCCGTTTCATATCTGCAACCCGTCGACACGTGAACACAATGAAAGAGTGCATCAGTGATTGTTCCAACCACCAGAGATAGCTAAGCCGAGTAAAGTTTAGTATCCTGGAGCGCTGCCCAGGAACAGC